AGGAGAGGAGGGGAGGGGAGAGAAAGGAGACAGACAGTGTGAGAAAGAGATCCCAGAGAGAGAGATATGCTCTCCTCGTGCTCTCTGGAAGACACCAGTTGTTCTAGATTAAAGCCCCACCCTTCTGACTTCATGTAAGCCTAACTCCCCCTCTGCAGGCTTTGTTGTCAAAAGAAGTTACATGAGGGGCTTAGAGCTTCAGCATGCACACTTTGTACTGGGGGCACAATGGAACAGAAAACAGTTACCATGTCCCATGCAGTCCACCCTCGGAAATCTGTCTTTGAATATTTGGTCACTTATTCTGTCCTTATCACTGTTCCAAATGCATCGGGTAGCTCTGTTCTTAAAAGGACAAAAAGTTGATTCAGTGAAAAGTGCATTTAATTCTCTCCCTTTCTAGAGTCAGCGAACTTTCCCAGTTGTATGTTTGCATTTCTTTGTAAAGTGTTAGCATAGTTTGCATATTGGTCTGAAAACATGCTTTTTACACTTGAAAATACCCTTTTTGCATCTGTATAAATACATTCTACAGCCTTTGCTTTCTGTACGGTGGCTGTGACATGCTCCTTATACTGATGTGAACTTTTTAAAATCTATTTTCCACTGATCACCATTTATATTTTTCAAGTTTTTTTCCCAGTACAACCTAAAATATAAAGTACACATGTGAAATACATGGAAACGATAAAATATATTTAAAAATATATATGATAATCTGTATGATAATAATAAAACGCTGAAACTCCTGGAGAAGTTAGGCACTTGTCCTGTGGGTCAGGATGACCAAGTGTCTGTAGCGCTCTAAACAGTCTGCGTTCTCCCTCATGGCCCTCCAAGTTCTCTCTCCCACCCTTCTGCTTGGAACTGTTCAGCCGCCCCGCAGCTCTACCGGCTTTAAGCCCAAGCTGCTCCGTCTGGGGCCCGAGCGCGTCAGGCTTTGGCCCTCCTTGTCCTCCCAGCTCTTCTGTTTCACGTTCGTGTACCTTTTGCTGCGCCGACACGACTGCGCGCAGTTCCGTGCGCAGTGCTGCTCGATCCAGCGTTTCACGCAGCACGTGCAGCGTTACCCCTCTGTGGGAGACGACCGCAGCCTCTCGCTCGCCGTTTGCTAATGGAATTGTTGCCTCTTTCTTTCAAAGCCCAGTAGAGACATCAGTTCATCGGAGTTATTAAGATCCTTGCACCTATTTCTCTTGTGGACTTATTAAAGGAGAAGAATAACTGCGAAAATAAGGAAAAAGATCATTCTAGGCCTTAGGCATAAGCAGGGCAAGGCCCTGAAAAAATGTGTTTGACAGATTCTCCGAGCTGTAGGAATGTGAGCTTAGCTGGAGCAGGTAAAAGGAGAGGACAGGAGGAGGTGAAACACAGGACGTCGAGGTGTAAGGTGTGATGGGGCCTTCTTGGCCCTTGTGGGACGCGGGTGCGTCTTAGTCCACAGTTCTGAGTAGGGGGATGACATGACCAGACTAACCAGAAAACTGCATATGCTAATACGAGCAGGTTACAGGGAGCAGGGGTTTGGAGAAGTAGGAAAATGGGTACGGACCACTCAGTTTCCAGAGCAGAACAATAGTTATAGCACAGACATAAGTCATCTGTCTGCAGGCTGGTGTTTTGATTATTTCTGAAGATACTAATTACAATTGCCAATAGGGTTTTAAAGAAAATAGTACAGTATATCAGTAAGTACACCCTAAAACCATTGTTTTCCAAGGAAAAGTATGTCTGATGTGTAAGGACTAACAATTAGTCTCATTGTATTTTTACAAAAATTTAATAAAGTTAAACTAGATCCATTTATAACCGGTTTAGGCAGAGATTACAATGACAGCTGGAGCTGAACGTGCACAGCCAAGAGAAAGGCGCCTGTGTGAGGGCTCCTTTGACGAGGACGCTTCCGCCCGGTCCTTCCAGGAAGTGTTAAGTCAGTGGAGAGCTGGGAGCCAGGAGGGCCAGGAGAAACGGGACGCACTTTCCGCAAAGCCAGGTACGGCCACCGTGTGTTATGTACCTCTCGTAACAGAGGGCCACTTTGTTTTGTCTCCGTTGTCTGTGAATATGAATGCAGCGTTTGAAAACTACACACACACACACCAATTTGTTCTGACTCCTCTAGGAGGTACACACTCCGTGTGGTCATCCGTGAGTGGTTTCACACTCATGGACTCTGAACTGGGCACGGGGCGGCCAGTTGTTTACCCTATATGATCACACTGACAAGTGGGGGGAGCATTGGGTTCTGTCAGCCTTTCTTCTTCTCACATTAGGACAGGCATTCCATTTCGAGTTATAATGGCAACGTGTAAAATGGAAGACTCTGTTACATAGAACAATAAAAATTTTTCTTATAAATCTACAGTAAAGTGTGATTTCAAGGACCACTGTGAATTTTAGGTGGAGAACTGGCTTGTGTTTGAATTGCTTTCTCTCTTTTGAAGAACTATGTTTATTCTCTATATTTTCCTTGATGACTTTCACTCCTATACTCTAGCGATTGAAGATTTCTGGATAACAGTGCACAGTGTCTTTGTTTTAAGTTTTTCAAAACATTACTTGAAAAAAAATGATGCTTTTACAGTATTTAATTTATTAATTTTCAACTGAATCTTGTATTACCTTTTAGTTGATTCTCATTAAATACAACCTATAAACTAATAAATTACAATTGTGTGTCCAGTTTTACTAGGTTACTTAATTTTGCTCTAGAGAAAAAACTCTGGATTACTCTTCTTTTGCAATATAGTGCAATTCTTTGTTTTTGTTTTTTGTCTTTTTTGAGACAGGGTCTCACTATGCAGTTCAGACTTGCCTTGAGCTCACTTGGTAGCCCAGGCTGGTCTCAAACTCACAATGATCCTCCTGCCTCAGCCTCCTGAGTGCTGGTATTTATAGTGCAATTCTTAATGTTAATATACAACACACTTTTTTGGTTTGTGTCTGGATGTCCCAGAAAAACCTCATGCAGTCATGGGGCAGTCTTCTAGAGTTTATGATTGATTCATGGTCCAATACTGGGTTTATGGGTGTGAATGCTACACCCCCCTGGGGTGGGTAGCCTGCATACAATGTAAGGGAGGGAAAGAACCTTGGTCTTTGCACTTCTCCCTTTTTGCTCTTGCTACTTTTGCTGTTTTCCTCTGCCATGAACTGTTGTCCTCTGCCATGTGCCGCTCAGCCTTGGAGCCAGCCGAGTTTGGACTGAAACCTCCACAAACTGTGAGCTAAATAAACCTCTCCTTCCTTAACGCTGGGCATCAGGTATTTTATTTCAGCATCAGGTATTTTATTTACTTTTATTTCAGAAAAGTAACCAAGACACACACTATCTTCCCAGTTGTAATTAGATTTTTTACTAAATAAAGTTCTCTCCATCAATTAATTTCCTACATTTGTTCACAATATATTACTTGTAATTTCATATTTGTATTGTTTTACTTTTCTACTCAGATTCTGCCAACAGTTTGCATATAAATACACCACGCATTACCTTTTATAATCCTGTATAATATTCTATATAAAGTGATTTATAGCTATTTTATTTTAATTCTCAGTAGGGTCAAAAATATCATGACCATCTTAGGTACTTGTGTGCAATGTATTCAAAGATAATTGTGTAGGTGCTCCAGTAGCATAGATATGCTATATCCACAGTGATTTTTTTTAAATAAAATTTTGATGAATGTTTTCAAATTAACCCCTAATATATTCTTGTTTCAGGTCAGTTGTACTCTCATTGGTGGTGCATGAGGTGGCTATTTGTCCATATTTTCTAATTTCATAGCTTGATTCACCATGATAAACAATGAATGATTTTTTCATCCTAACTGACTTCTACCCTCATTTTTAAAAATAAGCATTGATTATTTTCTCAATACATTGTTTTTTCTTTTGCCAATATTTTTAAAATTAGGGTTACATAACATGTTTTAGAGTTTTGCAACACTCCTCTTGTTTTCATTGGTCAGCACATAGTGAGTGCATTGTGTGCTGGAGGGAATGTGATGTACAGATGCAGTCACACTGTATCCTGGAAGGTACAGGATGAGAAGGGTAAAGCATCAATCCAGGGGTTAGCACAATTTGAAGGGAGAAGTGCAAAGTCAGGTCCATGCCAGGTGCAAAGAAGATGCACTGACAAAGCCGCTGCACCTTGTCGATTGGGTCACCTGAGTCCAGGGAGCAAGTAAAGGAAGAGGTTTCAAGAGTGGCAAATTAGCACAGATAAAACCCACTGTCAGTCCACGTAGGACTTAGCGATGGATGTGCGCCCACACGGGGATTGTCTCAATGTCTCGGCTCAAGCACCTTGGGAGTGGCGTTAGCAATCTGCCAGGCTGCGCAAGCAAAACCCAGAACTGATTTTACAGAGGAGCTTGAGGAGCCGGGGCTCTCCTGACAGTTGCGGTGGAAGAATTTTGGCTCTGGGTGATGAGAATGTTACAAGTGGCATGTGCCTCATGCTCAGCTGTCCTGTAACTAACCATACCCTGGGAGTGCCAGCGAACCCTGTCATCACCAAGTCACTAAGCACCACAACCCTTAAAAAAGGCTGTTGCGGCTTTTCTGTGCATGCTAAGGGTGAGTGGTAGACGTGCTTCAGTGGAACCGATTTGCCTGATTTCAAAGGAATAATGGGAACCTGTAATGGTAGAGACCAAGTGAGACAGACAAGCATGAAAGTGGTGGTGGTGGATAATCAAAATATGGGACCAAGAAGAGTAGCAATTTGATGTCTCAGTTTGCAGATCTCTACGATGCTATTTGGAGTACCTGGTAACGAAAAACTTAAACAGCCTAGTAGTTGGTGTGAAGGTTCGAAACTTCTCTCTGATGTGCAAAAACCTGACTTGGGCTGGGAAGGCAGTTTTGCAATGTTGCCAGACCTAAGTCTGTCCATACATCTGGAGCCCCTTAATAGAAGCTAGTCCATTGGTGGATCCCGCATTGAGGCCACTGGGGTTCACTGTGCATCCTACTCCAAGCCTAGCTAGCAGAAACCAGTGGCTATCTACTCGTAAATATGCGTAAAGACAGGCAATGCACAGAACTTCAGAAGCAGTTTTAGCTTCGAACTCTGAACTGATACTTATCCCTGTACCTTAAGCGCTACTGTAGTCTATCAGCTAGTGTGAAGAGCTGGTGGAGGGGAGGTGATGAAGGACTCTTTTCTTTAGTCTGACTCATTAGATCCGCGGGACGTGGGGGTGCAGTGTACGATTATTTTCCCAGACCTGACTACGTCCTGAGAAGGGATCATAAGGGGAAGATTCTCTACATTAGTAGTCTTACCTATGGCATGAAGATTGTTACAGAAGGGCACAAGGTGGATTTTGGAAGTGCTCCCACCATGTATCATGTGCTACAATAAATGCCTGAAGCAGTACTTTATTTTTTGGGAATTGCAGAGATTAAGGCCATCCCTAAATACTTGAAGATGGAAGAACGCTGAGTTTTGGAAAAATTACATTTGACTTGCTTATTTGGGGAAAAATTCCAAAATCATGGAATTGTTACTGGATTACAATAAACTTTATCAGATGAAAGCGATACTAGGCACAGTTGTGTTTTGGATGTCCTGTATTTACTGGAGGAAAAAAGACAATCTCTGTGACTGCTAAACAGCCGCTGACCCACCACAGAGCTCGGGTAGTGTTTTCTGTGAGGCGACCACTCAGAACTGCCCGGCTAGCTAACCTTGCTGCTGCAGAGGAAAGTAGTCACAGACAGTAATGAATGAATAATTACATCTGTGGTCGAGTAAAATTTTACTTAGGAACACAGAAATACAGCCACGTGAAAACAGTAGGCTACATTTGACCCAGAAAATGCCTTTTTAAATTTCTGTCAATCAGCTTTTTAACGTGGCAGGGAGAAGTGCACACTTTTGCAGTATCATTCCAGAGCTGTGCTAATTCCACCTTCCAGCATCAGGTCGTCGGAAAGGACCTTGATCACACTGAGTTGTCCAGAGACAGTGCTTGACCATTAGATTGATGGCGTCGTGCTAAGTGGATTTGCTGAGCGGAGACCATATATTACAGGGTGATTATATTCAACCTTTTCCGTAATTGAGGGGGCCGTGGTTTGTCCTCACGGGGAAAGTTTCCTATTTCAGAGATGGATCTGCTCTCTCTGCTCACAGTGTGTCTGCCAGGGGGAGCCTTATTTATCACGATGGTGTCCTCTTAAACACTGCTTCAGACCGAGACACGCATTTCACTGCGACAGAGCTCCAGCTGGGACCCGCAGCGCCCGCTGATTCTCCACGTGTCGCCCTGTCTCCAAGCAGCTGGTGTGACAGTTTCGTGGACTGACCTACTGGAGGCTCCTGCGGTTCTGGCAGGGAGACTGCGCCTCATGAGAGGGGTGCTTTTCGAACCGGGTCCTGTACTTTCTATGAAATCCCTGTCATTCTTCCACTACACAGACTCTGAGCGTGCGCCCTGGTTCCGGAGCTGATGCTCACAGAAGGAGCAGTCGGAAAGGGGGTCACTGTCCTGGTTTCGTTGGTTGAACACTATGACCAGAGCAATCCCTGTGCTGCTGCTATACAACTGACTGAAGGCTGCGTTTGGAGCCCAGAGATTGCAGGGCACATGGAGCTCCTGTGTCTAGGAGTAACGCTCCACGGGAAACTGGCAGGTCGTGGAGGGGGGGCTTGCGCGGCTAGAAGTCCTCCGAGAATGAATATCTGGGAAGAACCTGGCAGAGGGCTGGAAGAGAGTAAGGTGACCGTGGGAGGATGGTGTTGGCAGGAAGCTTTGGTGAATCAACTGGTGCTGCAGAACTTCCTACAGAAGTGGAGAGCACACAGCAATGTCTTGTGTTGCCCGTTTTTTCCTCTGTGCTTTCCCACGCTACTTCACATGAAGTGACTTAGTGGTGGCGGACTCCCGTCAGGAGTCCCTTGGGAGGGTCAAGTGGTTGCAGTCTTGTGACGCACAGTAGCTGCAGAACTTCCTTTCCCCATGTTCCCAATAGATGCGTGAAGTGTGGAGTGGAAAGAGTGATGCCTGGAGGAAAAGCGTGCCGGCCAGGCTGGCCGTTGTCATTCCTTGTCTCTCGCCCAAGTAGCATGCTGTCTCCTTTTAAATGCTGAGGATTATTTGTGGTATTTCCTGTTTTGCCATGGCAAAAGTGCTGTTTTGCGTCTTCTTGTCCAGGCTCGTGGTCCATCTCCATCACATTTGTAGGGAGGTCTACCCTGAGTGGAGCAGAGGGGTAGTTGGGCGTGCATGGCCTCAGCTGCACTAGAGTTGAGTTACTTAACAACGTAAGTGCACTCATTCATGCCGCCGCTTGAGGAGTGTGAGGATGTGACTACTTCCCACTGTCAAAAACAGTCTTGTGACATTTCAAAAGTTTGCTGGTGTGACACACAGGAAAGGCATCTTCAATCTCTGCACTTTCTACTACTAATTACATTGAGTATCTTTTTTTTTTTGCTGAATATTGTGCTTTAAAATTCCAAGTTTGGGGTTATTAATTATTTACAACCTGATTCCACATTATACTCCGAGGTTTGTTTCCTTCAGTGTGAAGCTTAGGCACATTCGATGGCCTCGAAAGCTCTGTGTGATCTGCAGTCAGTTTCTGCCTGACCACATCCCTTGCTACTCCTTGGGCTTCTTTAATTTTATCTGCTCTGTTCTCCATGCTTTCTCTCGAACACTTACGTATTCTGACACTTTAGGACTTTAGCTTCCTGCCTTAAGGAAAATATCCGTGATGCCATCAATATGAGAGACAGAAAATTTCACACACATTTTATAAATGAAAGCGAGTTAACTAAATCCAAGGAGGAAACCAAATCCGAAGTTAGAAAGCTCATGTGCAATTTTCCATGAAACCGTGTCTCATAAATCCATATGCTGTAGATATGTTTGCTGTAAGAAATTCGAACCAAGAGTTGTTTGCTAAATGCATAATGTAGTTAATGATTCTTTGCCTATAAAATGTCAATTTATTTGTCAAGAGGTACAGTTATCAAATATAATCACAAGCAAATTAAGGCAGATCACTTTCTATATTTATTTTTGGCATCATGCATTGGTTATTTCAGAAAAGTGAATCACAGCCTAGGTGCTTTAATTCTGTCCTTCCTGTCACTTTTCTACATTTGGATACTGTCTCTCAAACACAATCGGTCTTTTCTACGATCTAGACAGAAAAAAATATGGGTTGTTTCGTTTCCTCTCTCCCCTTTTCCCATCCTTTCCCTCTCTTTTCCTTCCCTTCCTTTCCCTTCCCTGTGTTTCCCTTCCTTTCCTTCCAGTTTCTTCTCTCCCTCCCTCCTTCCCTGCCTCCTCCTTTCTCCCTTTCTCTTTTCTTTCAGCTCTCTGGCCAAGAAGTCCTTTGTTTTCCCCTAGACATCTTCCCCCACGACTTGCTCCTCTTCTCACGACTGCTCCTGCAGGGCTGTGGAGTCGGGCTGACATTTCTCAGGACCTCCCACAGTGATTGTCTTCTCTGCTTCTCTACTCTTTCAAAACAGAAGTTGGATACTTTCCACTGCTTCGGTTCATTGTTATTGCTAGTGTATGGCTATCTATGGATGCTGATCAGTAAAGTCTACCTTAAATGGGACGGTCTTCTATTTTTAGGGTTCATAAACATGCATTTTTTACCTTTCCTACTTCTTTTTCTTCTCCTACATTACTTACCTTATGATGTTGCAGATTGGAGAACCAGACGTGGTCCGGGAGAATGGAACGAAAAGTCCCCCTGCATTTACTGCTCTTGTTCCCAGGAATCTCTGTTAGTCCTGCACAGTTCCGGAGAGACTTTACTGTAGTAGAACAGCAGAACAACTTAAGTATAGAGAAGTTAATTACGGAGTAGATTAAATTCATTAACGACAGATGTCTCTTCCAGATGCCATTCTGCTTTACTTATTTTCTTTTTCTCATAACGTGTAAATATTAATGACCTTCGCTGTAATATACATGTGTGTATGTTTGTATGTATGTGTACACTGTACTGTGAATAGGTTTATACAGTATTTCTCTCTCTCATTTAAAAGAACTAGTTGTTTTAAAACAAATCTTGGGTATCATGAGATCCTTTCACGTCAACATGTTTTTGAACAAAACTGTAAAGTCATTTAATGCACCAATAATATTTACTACTGTAGAATTACTTAAAATTAAACCTACTGCTTTTATATGTAAAATCAAAGGAATGTGCCTCAATAATGATGAATTCTGTGTCTCCAGAGAAGATAGGTAGTCTTTATACTGGTTACATTAATCATCATTTTTTCTAGGCTCATTGGAAGAATGTGAAGTGCAAACTAATTTGAAAATTTGGAGAGAACCCATTAATGTTGAATTTAAAGAAGACAGTCTCTCCTACATGGAAAAATTATGGATTAAAAAACACAGGAGGTACATTCTGAAATTTTAATATTATTATGAAGAAATATAAATATTTTATATTCTTTTCTTGTGTGACATGTCTTTCTGCAACAATTTTATATGTTTTTATTTACATAAAGATTTAAAATTAATATTAACTTTCTCTGAAGCTTCTACTATTCCAATAAGAATTTTAATTGTATTTATTATTGTGATGCTTCAGTAATTTAGAATTGTCTTGAGAAATGGAATTGTGTTTCGGAGGAAAAGGTACAAATATAGCATAGAATTTAAGAAGAAGAATAAACAGTGCAATACGTAAGAGATTACTTTGAAAAGATAACACTGTAGATTTATCTACGATATCCTAAACGTCTTTAATTTTCTGTTTTTACTGGTACATGATAACTGCGTTCACCGTGGGGGTCGCTAACTCTCATAGCGCATCTTAATCTTTTTATACCCCCCTTTCGTTGTTTGGTCAGTGTCTCACTTGCCAAAGTCTGTCTCCATTTCTTGTTCTCTGTCATTTGTTTGCTCTTTGATGTACTGATGTCTTGGGTTTCTTATATAAGAGAAACCCTGTATTGTTTAAGCTTGTGTATCTATTGCATTTAAATTTTGTCCTCACAGTGCATCTGTTTTCCTAAAGGTGACTCAAATTTATCCTTCTTTATAGCACAGTAGTTGTCCACTGTGTATATATACTACCTTTTCTTTACCCATTGATCTGTTGGTGGACACATAGAACGCTTCCAAGATTTTGCTACTGTGAGTTGTGCTGCTATATTAGCATAAATGATTGAGAATCTACTGTTAATTGGACCTTTAACTTTATAAATTCAGTAATAGTAATCAAGCGTGCTTCGTCCAAAGGCTACCATTACATAAATTGTTTTCAAAATATATTATTAAAATGCTAAGCCAAAATTAAAAACGCGCACATGTTACAGCCATTTTCAACTTCAGCATCATGTAAGACCATAGGAATGTACACCTTGCAGGTAACTTAAAGGTCCTAAGCTCAGTTTTCCCTCAACTGAGCTGCTCACACTTCATTACACCCTCCAGTTGCCTAGAGAGTCTGAGAAAATGCAAATTCTTTAGTAGGTCTGAAGACAGGGCCTGAGCCTCAGCGTTGCTGAATTTCAGGTTCCCTAAGTGACACTGATGGGCTGATACTGGCATCTGGGCCAGGAGTGGGGGGCAAGGGATGGAGGAGCTCTCTAGAACACACCCGGGGAGGGGTCACTCAGCGCCCTCTTCACCCTCACTCAGTCATCCCCTGACCTGGCCCGTCTGTCTTCAGATCATTTCTCCAGTGAATTTTGAATGGTCTCCAGGTGGTTTCTAGGTCCTAATTCTACCCACTATACTCACATGAAATAAATCGAATTTCTCTTCTCTATGACATATTTTAAGCTTTTAAAAATTAGTCCTCCTTGGAAGCCCCTGTTTAATAGACTTTTTTTTTTTTTTTTTGTCTTTTTGAGAGAGGGTCTCGCTATGCAGTTCAGGCTGACCTCGAGCTCACTATGTAGCCTAAACAGGCCTAAAAACTCACAGCGATCCTCCTGCCTCAGCCTCTCGAATGCTGGGATTACAGGCATGCACCACCATGCCCGGCTTGTTTAATAGATTAATATTTGCACTATCTTCCTCCTGCAATTGTGTCTGATGTGTCAGATTCTTTTCATTTGAAATAAGATATAGAAGAATATAAAAACATCTGCAGAATTTATAGATATTATTTTCTCAGCTTTCCTTTTCTGTGCATCTTATATAACAAAGGTGAATTTATGAAAACCAGTAAATCAACATTAGCAAACTATCACTGACCAACCTCCTGAGTGAATATGAATTTTATCAGTGGTTTCACCAGAGCCCTGCTCCGGGACCTGCTCCGGGACCTGACCCGGGATCTCACTTTGTGTTTTCTGTCACCATCTCCTTAATCCATCGTATTCTTCAGCGCTTTCCTGTCTTCCTTGTTTCTCATGACCATGAGATTTGAAAAGCACTGGGCAGGTTTTGCCATATCACGTACTAAATTTGGGCCTAGCTGATTGTTTCGAGTTAGATAAAGGTTATCTGCTTCGAGGAAGACCGCCAAAGAGGGGATGTTTCCTTATTGCGTAAAATTATGGCATGAGCGAGTTAGTCCATCTTGCTACCCATGCTGTTGGTCTTGATCCTGTGGTTAAGGAGGTGTCACCAAATTTCTCTACAGTAAAATCAGTACTTTCCCTTTACAATTAATACTGAAGTATATTTTAGAGGATGCACTTTGAATGACGCCAACATGTTGTGTTTTCTCTTGAGTCTTTTGGTTCCAGCATGAGTGAGTGGATTTTTGCCACGGCAGCAGTTACTTTCCCGCTCCAGTGATGATTTTCTGGCTCCTTCACTTTCTCTCTGTTTATTAACTGGAGTCTTCAAAGAAGATACCTGTGCTGGTTCATTAGTTGGTTTATTTAAGTGAATTCACGATGTTCACCTTTGCGGTTAATATCTAATGCTTTTATTATCATGTGACTGAAATTGTCTCTGCTCCGGCCGTTAAGGGCTCTCTGAGGTTGGCACCTCTGTCCTTTGGCTGCTTCTCTGTCCTCTGTGTTTGCTTTTGACTAGTTTGCTTTCAGTGTCTCTCTGTTTCTCTGATGCTTGATTCTCTCATCCCAGCCCAGGTACCACTTCTCCAGACACTTCTGATGCCTCTTGCTGGAGAGTGGTATTCACAAGATCTGGGCACTATGTGCATTTGTTTGTTTTCAGTGACAAATATTAGGCTTGCTACAGCACCCTGGTCAGCCTTAACTGAGTAAATAAGTGTCTAAACTTATTTTCCTACCTATGGATTTTGGCATCTGTGATAGTAATGTGAGTTCCCACTGATTCCTCATGGTTCTTTTAGTATATTTTCTGTGCTTACTTGAATTTCCTTTCTCTGGCGAGAAACTTGGCTTTAATGACCTAAATGTATTCATCAATTTGTTAACTAAGATAAAGACAGATAAGTAGATAGATGAATTGATAGCTATAGGCATATAGGTAAAATGGCTTCAGAACTAACAATATCATCTTGAGAAACAAAATTTCCCAGTCACAGTGTTTCTGAGCAGTGCTTTTCCTTGTTAGCTTGTAGCACCCAGCGAAGATCCTACTTTTCACTGTACTCATCCCACTCATTTCTTTTGAACCTCTCTAGGGCGCTTATGCCTTCCTTGGTCTCTGCTCATACTATGATTCTAAAATTTTGAATAAATCTGAGGGTGGCAGTTCTGTGGGTTTTTTCCGGTACATAGAATCATGTGCCCTTCATGACTAAACAGGACCTCACCTCCAAAAGTCTCACGTGTTTTTCTTTTGGAAGTCAGCGATTCTTCTTCCCCAGCCAATGTCAAGCATTGATCTGCCGTCTGTCCTTAATAAATTTGCCTTTCTCTGAAGGTCACTTACATGAAATCACACAATATGTAGCATTTTGTGCCCTTCATTTAGCAAAATACTTTTAAGTTTCATGTGTGCTCGTCTGAATCAATATCCATTCATTTTTCTTGTGAAATAACTTTTTTGCATTTTATTGGTACATGTTTGTGGCTCATAATGATTACATTCATGGTGGAGATTTAGTATACATACATAACACATTTAATTTTTTTCCCCTTTCTTCTACTTCCTTTATCTTTCCATTGTCAGATTAATAAGACCTTATAAAGTTAATTTTCATATATACAGATTGAAAAAAAAACTATTAGGCCAAAGAACGTATAGAACATGTAAGACAATTCTAAGTGTGGACAATGTGTCTAAAAGTGTACCTTGATTTCCAGTAGTGTTTTTTTTGTTTTGTTTTGTTTTTCTCTGGTACCGGGAACCGAACTCACGACCTTGCGCTTGCCAGGCAGGCGCTTTGCCGCTGAGCTAAATCCCCAGCCCTCCAGTAGTGTTTTAACGTTGTGATTTAGCTTAGTTTATCTCTCTTTGTCTTGAAGCACATTCTGCTGGTTTCCAGTTTGGGATGATTATAACTTGGCTTTGTATCTATATACTTTTTCTATGTACCAATCTATACTTTATATGTATATATGTATATGTAGTTATATCTCATTTCTATTTATATAGTAGGGTTTTAAGTTCATTCAGTTACTACTTTGGTTATTCCTATGTCACTGACACCCAGGCTGTCTATAACTGTCTTAAAGTATGATGTTTATAGCACCTATTAAGATTTCAAACTCAGCAGTGTACAGTTGTTAATTGGCTCTTTATGGTTTAGCAGTTAGAACATAAATTTAATTCGAAAGTCCTCTATCTTTTTTGTGGCATCCTTTTACTATCGGGTCACATTGAGGCTCTTACACAATAAAGGAAACTGAATTTTTAGAATTGAATGACCACCATCATTTGCACTTGGACCCATATAGGAAGCTCTCATCATTGACATACTGAATCCTGAGTTATACTTAGTACTGATTGGCCATTTTTCCTTAACAAGTGAGAGCATTTGTAACCCTTCTTACTAGGGTATTTATTTGCATGTGTTTGTTTATTTTGACCTGAGGTCTTATTATGTTTCTAGGCTGGTCTCAACCTTTCAGGTTCAAGTGATCCTCCTGCTTCAGCCTCCTAAGTATTTGGGATCTCAGGCTCACATCATATATCTGACCTCTATATTTATTTTCTCCTAAACGCTTTTTGAGTAATCACTTTTTAATTATAGATATTAGTGTCTTGCAAATCATGTATAATTCCCAAGTTTGCACTGCATTTTGGATGCTGTGCTTCAGAAAAGTTTCCCATGTTGATAGTCAGGCTCACGATTTCCTACTATCATTTATTGTCCTGTTTTATAGTAGGCTTGCAAATACATATCCTACTGCCTTTTTCTGATTTGGATACTATTTTGTTTTATATTTTTCCTACAAGCAATATATACATATTAATAGACCTTCCTCATCCCACCGTTAGGTATGATTGGAAAAAACTATAAATTATATATATATTTTATATGTTATATTAAATTTATATGGATATATATGAGTATGTTTATATTCATAGCAGCTGAACCTCCTGTCAAACAGGCTGGAGGATGCCGGACATGAAGACACAAGGCAAATGTCACTGTAACGATCAGTTTGCTTCTTTTCTTTCCTCTTGCTGTACATTGGGTGATGGCTGAGGTCAAGGCTGCATCTGAATGATCTTCGGTTTCTGATTGGAGAACGTTTTATCTCGCTCAAACTAACTTCGGCTAGTTAACTCAGGTCTTAATTTTTCTTTTCACAGTGTAGATATTGTATCTCTGGTTTGTTTCACTTATCACAGTGATTTCTAAGCCAATAAAATAAATAAGTGCCCATCAACAGGCTGAAAGCATAAGGAACACACACACACACACACACACACACACACACACACACCACAGGAGTATAATTCAGCCTTAAAATAGAAGGAAATCCAGCCATTTGTGACAACTTGGAAGTTTTATGATCTTAGTTCTGTAGTTCCAGGAAATGTTTAAATCTGGAGGTTTCATGGAAATATAGATTTGGTTTGAGAGTATTTTATGGACAATGACTTGGTATTCTGGCTTCCCTCTCTTCTTATTGCACACAAAGCTGATCACAAAAACACCTGGAGCAAGTTCTTACACTACTGCTTCCTGGACTTCACTCAAAACTCATCTAAAAAGTACTGTCCCTACCATCAGGTGTGAGACTTTGTATTTTGTCTCGGTCGGCCCCTGTACTGTGACAAGATGGACCAACACCGATTCACAGAGCAGGTTCAGTATCTCTTAGGACTTGCTTACTCAACTAAACTCATCAATACCCAGGACATATCTTCTGAATTTTAAGAAGGGGAAACATGGTGAGGTGAACAGAACTGCTTTTTATGTGGCACAATTTTTTTAAAAAAAACCGGTACCCAAGTCCAAATATCCACAACCTAGACTAAGTTCATGTTCTGACTAATTGGTTGTTCACGGGCCAGTTACTTGAATTTTTGTGGTACAAGTTTTGCAAAACACTGAGTTTAGAATCCATAATTTGTAGGATCTTCTAAACTCCAATACTCTAGGAAATAGATTCCGTAGATTTTTGCTTCAGGGACTTTACTCCGAATTAGAGAAACACTCTAATTTGTCATAAAGAAAAGTTGTCTGGGTAACAGCATAGTAATCATATGCGTTAAAATAGTAGACGAATGGCAGACTAGACAGCGGTCTCTAGCGACCAGATGCCACTTGCTTTGATGTTATATATTCTCAGATGTCACTCTCACTGTATGTTAAAGCATAAATCTAAGTTGACATAAATATTCTGCCTTTATCTGATATACACCTTCCATATATTAGGAAGTGCACATAACCCCAGACTACCCGAGCAGTACCACAGCTTTAGTGCCTCCACGGGCTTGAGGAACTCTTTTTTACATGGGGCTGCATGAACTGGCATGGTCTGAGCAACACTGCAGCTATTTATATTGTTGACTAAATAGGACTTCTTTCTCCAGTGATCTGGGAATGTCATCCAGAACCAAACACACACTCTGCCCTCTGAGAATCCCGGGCTTTGCTGACTTCCATCTGAAATGGGTTATATTGATCTTCACTGTTAATTGTGTAACAGAAGTCACAGCCAGAACACCTTACAGTCATACCATGGAAGGCTACTTTATTACCCAACTGATGTGGTGGAAATTCAAGCAAATGTCTTCAAGTTCCCTTAGAACTCATCAAGATAATGCAAAGGTTGTAAGATGAAACACTAACTTGTAAATTAGCTTTTGAAACAGCACGTTGTGTCTCATGGACTCCATGTGGCTTCTGAGGGAACACTGACTTCTATCATAACTTTGATTTTCATCTTAAACAAAAAACAGCAGGATATGGAGTTTAAAAGTGTTGTGTGATGCCCAGTTGACTTACTTAGTTTTTAAATACAAAAGATTCTGTTATACAATCATTTTCTCCTGTGGATTAAATGTACAGTTATGGTTTCAATATTAATTTTGTAAAAGCACTTATATGACAGATAAATCAACATTGTGCTGAATAGATTCAGATAATGTATTTTAATGTTTTAATTATATCTTTCTCGCCTTGTAGAACTCCACAGGAGCAGCTTCCTGGCCAGCTCCCAGGCGCAGCCCTGCGTCCCTGCGAAATGAGCAGCAACGCTCGGTGCTGTCAGAGTGGAAGTGATGAAGAGAGTGACGGTCAGTTCAGCCTTGTTTAGATCTTTTAAAATTTGTTATTTAGAGTTAAGCGCAGCAAATTATTCATTAGAATCTGCCTTTGGTGCTCTTTAGGGTCCATTCTCAGCCTGAGTGTGTAACCTTCATATCCAAACCGAAACCATGCACGTTGTCTTCCTGTTCTCTAGATTTACTTTGCAGTTAATTAAATGGGTGTAACTAAAAATCGAATGGCAAGAAAATGTGCATTTAACCTAATCTGGGAAAATGGACAGTATTTTCTTGTATGGATAATATTGGTAATATTATTTCAAGAAAATAGTCAGGTAAGACATAGACTCTAATGCTGTTATTTTCTATTCTTATTTCCCAGTTGAGGAGACCAGAATACCATACCCAACACTTTTTCTGCCAGTAGAATTAAATGTAGAGAGACCTGAACCATCTATAAGGATAATAGAACTGGATGGTGTAAGTAAATAATGACCGTTTACATTCCTTAACTAAGAGAAAATCCATAATATACAATTTCACATAATCATTATCACCAAGAGGGTTTCTTTCATAACCCAACTGTTAAAAGAAAATTAATAAGTGTTTGAATTTAAATGAAGCGATAAAACCCGAGGCAGTGTAACTCTTGATGTAGACAGTGAGTTTGTGACCTAAATTTGTATTGTTCTGTCTTTGGAATCGTGCAGTATGGGAGGTGAGAGAACATTTCACTTTGTTAATTTACAGAATATGCTTAGTGTTTGGTTAGCTTAGTTCTTTATGTTATCGGGGAATTTTGCCAAACAAAGATCAGTTTTGTTACAGAGGATCCATTTACTAGTATTTAAGTTCAAATACATTTTCCTGAGTGTTATTTAATATTTTCTATTTGAGGAAGAAATTGTGTTTAAGATTCATGCCTTTGTTACAACTTGAGCCCAAACCCCTACAATACGTCACTACAGTTATCTAAAGCCAGAGGCAGCCAGAGCTATGGCGTCAGAGTCAGTGAGGGTGAAACTCTTGGAGCTTTCAGTGACAACACACAGCTGCTGTGGCATGCGTGCCGTGGGCCCGCCACCTCTGCCTAGGGGCTGACAGAATCACTGTACGTGTGACGTTCCTCGTCCTCCAGCGGCTGAGGTGTCTTCACAGGAAGTGAGGAAAATGCGGAAACTACCGCTTAATAAGACACCGGTCTCTTTAGGTCAGCATGTTGCTTTGCTTCTCTTCTCAGGACCGTGTTTACTTTTTCCCCCGGATAATTTTGAGGCACTGAACGCACATTCACAGTCACACACATACACAGGCACACACAGGCCCTACTCATTAAAGTTGGTGCATGGAGTAATCTTGGCTTGCAAGTCAGAGAACTAAAATCCTAGTCGCCAAGCTACTTGAGAAATAGTAAAACGTCACTTGCTATCCTTGGTTCCTGTGGTAATCTTTGTGGACAAACGGAGTGACAATCAAATGCCCCGGACAAGTCACAGTGAATTTGTTTAGTTCTCCTAATGCTCAGGCGTTAGGGGATGTAACCACAGCAGTCATGCCATTGTTTTTGTGGAAATAAAACACTGTAAATATCACCTGTTTGTACTTGTTTAATGCATGATAAAATTATTGGACATACTAATACTGTGTAAAATGCATTTAATAAGACTTATGAAGAGGAATTTGAAGAACCAGGAGACCTCGTGCCTTACAAAGTTGAACTGGCTAATGCAGGCAGCCAGTTAAGGTAAGAGATTTCTAATTTACTTGGGATATGTGTTAAAACCCAGCTGCCCAAAAATTACCTGCTTGTTTAAATGGGAACTGCATTATTTCATAAAATGTGACTATAGTATTAATTTATATGAGCTATATTTAAATTTGTGTTTGTTAATTTATAAATGATAAAATCATGTACACTGTTACATTTGTAGTCTTTAATATATAATTTAATATCCTTGTGAATTAAGAAATTATTGACATTTTGGGCTGGGGATTTAGCTCAGCGGCAAAAGCGCCTGCCTGGCAAGTGCAAGGTCGTGAGTTTGGTTCCCGGTACCGGAGAAAAACCAAAAAAAAAAAAAAAAAAAAAGAAATTATTGACATTTTAACAAGTCTGGTGTACTTTATGTGAGCATTTTTCTTTTCTCCCAAAATATTCCTTTGATTTTATGCTAGTTTGCTATGAATCCTAAATAAATAGCGACATAAACGGTAACGCGGACTCTGAAGGAGCTCCCTTACTGATCACTCTTCTGTAGAATTTAATACACAATAAATGCATGAGGCATGAGGGAGGTTCACCCTGTAACTGTTTTGTGGAATTTTCTTTTTGCCAAATAAGAGCATATTTGGTTCTGTCAGTTTGTAATGTTAATTACCATGTGACGTCTTTACTTTTGAAACTTGATTTTACGTGTTCTGACTACACGGTATTAAATGTGAGTCTACAACAAAATGAAGTTACTATTTCGGAGTTTCTGTATCAATGCTCTGTTCCAGTCGAGTTAGACCTCTTTTAGCACTCTACAACATGCACTCAGGTATATTGAAGTAAATACGCTTTTGCCAGTAGGGTTTTTGCAGGAGGTAAGAGGAGAAAACTTTCTAGTCAGCAGATGAGAGGTTCATATTTACTACTCTATGCATAAGGAAATGAAAGACATTTTTCACTCTAATTTGATCATTTAATATATCTTATCACATGTCATAACTTTGACCACTATGTATGATGTTAGGGAAGTCAGAGAACGGTGGAAGTTATGGTTGCACAGCAGTTGTACCACTTTTGGTTTGAAGGTACCTATAGAAATCCCCTAACTTTAACTTCCTCCAAGGGATCATGGGTGATAAAAGAGAACCCTTTTGATTAAGTACAATCTATGAATTTTATGATGACACTAGGTATTGCTTGCATACATATCAGGTATTATTAAATATATTATTTAATTTACAGTTATTGCATTCATTATATGTATGCTTATAGAACAGTAATTATTGCAAATAATTGAAATCCAAATACCATATGCTACTTTGTATGTAATTCTATTGCTATAATAATTTATATATAAAAATAATATGTTAAAACAAATATTAAATTCACATAAACAATAATGTGTCATTAAAGATTTACTGTATTATTTTTAATACATTGGGACTTTTAAAGTATCATTTGTTTCAACTCTACTTTTATTCTTGTCTCTAATTAAACGAAAGGCATACACTTCATGATTATCAGTACAGTTTTCCGTGTGAAAGTCACAGCTATCAACATCATATTTTCAACAAAGTACAGACAGAGCTCTCAAATTCTACTTTGCCACACAACTCTATGTGTTATAAAGATAAAGGTAACTTTTTACTTATTGCTTAATATTATTAATGGATGAAAGCAGTAAATTAAAGCCAAAAGATTTTAGAATTTACAAATTTTACTTATTATTCTAATTTTAAAACTAAAATTTAGTAGTTGGAAGAAAACTCACTGAAAATATTTAATTTAGTGTTTTTAGTCATTGGACGACTATCTGTATTCATTAGAAAAAGAAGGCAGGGACTGGGGCTGTAGCTTCGGTGTAGGTCCTGATTCAATTCCGGACTGAATTAGCACTTTACAATTGCATGAAAGACTCATAGTGATGAAAGTCTGATCGGCACCTGCTGTACTCACTTTCATGAAATATTTCCCGGTGTAATATTTGATGCAAAGCTTTGTGTGAGGTATAACCCAAATAAAAGAAGCCATCTTGTTTATATTTCTGTGCTCTTATTCCTAGAATTGCCCTTGGCTGCTGTGGATGAAAATGTGTGCAAACGTCTGGTTTCACTTTCCAGACTGGGATGCGGTCATTTGGAATCACAGCAAAATACGCTGGTTTAGGATTCAAATTGTGTTTTCATGTGTGGCTTTAAACTACTGTGTCACATTCAACACATTACTTCCATAGATCTCAGTTTACTAAGCTACGCTGTAAGAATTAGATAATGCCCTATCTTCCTTTAAAATATTATGTTTGATCTTTCTAGGATCTTAGTAAAAGGCAATGAATGTGTGTTATGTGAAGAATTTTAGAGATACCGTAGGACATTATTCAAAATGGTTTTAACACTGATGCTTGCCTTCACATTGGGCAGCATAATGCACCGCATCCTCCCAGAATTTGTTTCTCAGTGTTTTCGATTTTTGCCGTTTTAATTACTGCGTAGTAGTGTCTCCTTGCTTTAGTTTGCTATTCCTTACTTGCATACGATATTGAACTTTTGACATGTTTATTTCCCATGAGCTGTCTGTTCTGTTCAGGTTTTCTGCACACTTTTAAATTGGGTTGCTTATTCTGTTATTGTTGGTTATTAAGATTCTTTGTATATTTGTATATTTAGACATCTTTAGTGATGCTTTTCCAGCTCTTTTCTCAGTCTATAGATTGTCTATTCATTGTCTTAAGTATATTTTCCAAAGAGAAAGAAGTTTTAATTTAAATGAAATTCATTTTGTTTTCTGTTTGTTTGACTTTGTATCTCAAAGTTTTATTGCATACCCAAGATCATCTAGGTCATTTTTTGATGTTTTGCATTTTTCATGTAGCTCTGTTAAATTTTTGTGAGAGATATATGGTCTGGGTCTAGATTTTTTTATGTAGATAACCAGTTCTATTGTCATTTGTTGAAAAACACTTGCCTTTGCTTCTGCAAAGATCGCTTGGCTATATCCAGTATCTGGATCTGCTCCTGGTTCTGTATGTTGCTTCACTAGTCTGTTCATCTATTTTTACCAATACTACATTGTTGGATGTTTGTAGATACAGAGTACGTCTTTAGGTGATGTCGTCAGTCCTCTGACTTCATTCTGCACTTTTGTGTTGGGTGCTCTGGCTTGTTTGCTTTCACCATATAAATTTTAGGGTCAATTTGCTCATAGTCACAAGTGAAGCAAGGATTTTGACTGGGATACCATTGACTCTATAGAGCAAATGGGGAAGAATTGATAGCTTGACAATATTGACTATTTCTATCTATAAACTTGGTGTATTTCTCCATAGTTTATAGTTTTCTTCATATAGCTCTTGTATATATTTTGTTAGATTTGTTCATTTTCGTTGAGGGGGATAAAAATAGTGAGTTTTACATTTAAACCTACCTTTTCCTTATCAGTTTATAGGAATTGTGAATGATTTTGGTACAATACCCTTACATTCTGCAACCTTGCTATAATTGCCTGTTAGTTCCAGGAGGATATTTGGCAAGGTATACAGACTTTTCTGTGTAGATAACCATATCATCTGGAAACAAGGACAGACATTTTTATCCTTGTCATCGTGCCGGCCTTTTATTCATTACCTATCGTAGGAGATTAGACTTCCAGTACATTGTTGGAAAGGAGTGGAAGGAGGGGACAGTTTGGGGACTTATTTCTTTTCTTACAACAAGGATCTAGTTTCTCACTATTAGGTCTGATGTTAATGTTGGGATTTAGAGTTGTTCTGCATCAAATTGAGCAAGTTTCCTTCTCTTTCTAAAGTGCTGAGAAATCTTTCTTCTCATGAATGCATGTCGGATTTTGGTACACGCTTCTTTGCATCTCTGGATATGGCCGTGTGATGTCTTTTTTAGCCGATGCGATGGATTTGAATAATTGATTATTGGATACTGTAACAAGACACACAAATATTAATGACTAAACAGGTCTTCCAATGACTAAAGTAAATTGAATATACCCATACTGCATGGTAATTTTAGCATTATTAAACAGCTAATATTTCAATATTAATGCACATCAGTAGGAAAATGTTACAACCTTTCAAAAATATTATTGAAGGTAGTTGTAAAATTTCAACATAAAAATACCATCTCTTTGTTCTAAAAATTCAGATAATTTCTACATTCAGAAAATTTCTATTAGGGAAGTGTAGCATTACTGAAGAAATTTCATTGTATTTTATAGCCTTCATGAAGTCTTTCTTATGAAAGCATTTGTCTGACAGGTATTTCTTTCCTCACAATATTTGTAATGTTTAAAACCCATAGGAGTTGAAAGTGGAAATTTTAGCTACTGTGTATAATATCTAAGTTATAGAAACATTTCATCACAAGTAAGTCCTCCGGGGGATAAAGCAGAATTTATTGGAGACTATTTAGATTTATGTTCAGTCTGTTTATAGAGATATTTGTTCTGAAAAGAGAATAAAGGATGATCACATGAAGCTACAGTCACCTTCAAGCATATATTATATAATTAAAATGTATATTACTATATTATATAACTGTATAGCGAGATGATGGAAATACTCAAGCACTTTCATTCATCAGAAAATCTTGAGTGATGTTTTACTTTCTTGGCTACACGTTATATTACATTGTAGAAATGGTCGGGGAAACTAAAGAATGGTACCTAAGTTTCAATCCCAGCATCTGATGTAGTTGCTCAGGGGTCAGATCCACACCCAGACAGTTCAAAGGAGTATCTCCAGATGATTCCGTTGTGCAGCAGATGAAATCCCACGGTCTAACCTAAGTGATGCGTTTAAAGCAGATGTAAGGAGGTGGGCAACAAATGTGATCTTGCTCATTCTGTAGATTTCCATAGGCAAGGATGCCAGTTACACATTTTCTGCTACTCTTCAGCCCCTTGGTACATTTCTCTTTGCCTTTTCTTTAGGCTGGGTGTGTGACATCACATAGGTAAGATGTAGAGTAGGTTTCCGCTTAATTACTCTTCACGGATTCCAGTTGTAATGTCACAGTGAGAGAAGAGGTGAGGGAGTGAGAATTGAACTGCAGGCTGAAATACAAACTTGCGTCAATTTCCAGACTTCACTGTAAAGTAAAATTGTGCTTCCTTCTAGAAGTCTGTGCAATTAACATTTAGCTGTATAAACAAATTATGATTGCCATTTATGAACGCAGCATAAAAATATTTTAATACTGGATGTTCCATTACAAAATTATTATAAACTGAGTATGGTGGTGCACACCCGTAATCCCAGCATTCCAGAAATTGAGGCAGGAGGATCACCACAAATTTAAGGTCAACCTGGTCTGAACAACATAACCAGGCTCTGTCTTTAATAATAATTAATAATAATAATTACTAATAATAATTACTACTAATAGTATTTTTTTGTTAAATAAAGTTAATTGATAAACATTTCCACCAAGACTTTTAGCTCCCCATAGCATTGAACTCTAGTTAAATCTATTTGCATTTTTAAATATGTGTTTTTAACAGCAGGAACTTCAAATGCAAGTTTTGACAACATTGTGGATTCTGAGTCATATTATCCTGTCATAGAAAAAATAGAGGACAGCAGAACTTTTGAAGGAAATTTGCAAGAGAAAAGTACAAAAATAGGAAGTAATGAAAAGTCTGATGATTCTAACATACCACCTGACAGCAACCATTTGTTGCCAACTGTAGATAAGTCTTTCTTTGACGAGAAATTATCTCAAGAAACCAAAGAACCCTTGGAATTTAGTAATTTGTGTGAGAAGCCAAATTTTGAAGATTCGAAAGCTAAAGAGTCACAACTGGTAAATCTTATATGCTCATTAACATTTTGTAATGAATTTCATAAGAAAATGTCATTTTGGCACAGTGCTTTTATGAATATTGCTTTTTTATTGTGAAATATACCACTTGTATCACGTTGTAGCTAAAGAGCGACTCATATGGGGGAAAATACCTGACACTTTCTAATACGGTGAGTATCATTTTAAGAATGCTTTTTTCTGACAAATAAAACTTTGAGAGTCAAGTTAATATGCCATAGTAAAAGTGCTCTCACTTTTTCAAATGAAATTCACTTTTATGAATATTATATACTAGTACCTCCAATAGCTGTCCGCTGCCATATAGCTTCTGATTGGTCATACTGAAAACAGTGTAGATACACAGACAAAACAGTTTTGTACATAATATAAGGTGAAGAAGTAAATTATTTTAGGAAAATAACTGGAATAGCAGTGGATGATTTGTTTTTCTTTCAGAAGAAATACAGGTAAACTAGGTCATTATCATATTATTGTCAAGTTTTGAAACTACATTTTCATGTCCATTCTATATACTAGAAATCTTCAATATTTTCATAATCATTAAAAGTCGTTTTAGACTAATTTTCAGGAACCCAAACTAAATGACAACCCCAAACCAGAAAGAATACTTGTACTTCCGCTTATTTTTCTTGGGGAACTGGGTTTCCGTGCCCATTTTGTGACAGGCTTTGTGCCTTTGTGAGGTGAGAAATTGGAATTGAGAACTTTGCCAGAAACCATTTTATTATGAAATTCTGTTTTATTTTTCCCATTACAAAGCAGACGCCCACGAATCTGCTGTTACTGAGGAAATGCACTAGGAGAATAGCTGCAGATGCAGAGAGACGAAAAGAAGCTGATCTTACTGGAGATCTGGGTCAGGTCAATAGGCATCTGACATGAGAAATGAAAACCTTGGACTTTCGTTTGGCGTGGGTGTGTAAATACCAGTCCAAATTTCCACTGGAATATATATTTACTCTTGAAATCTCCAAGGCAAGGAATTATCATTATTGTGAATCCATTGTTACTCATACCCTGACGTGTCTGGTAAAATAAATCTTAATCCCTCCTACAAGGACATTCTCACATTTTACCCAGTAATGGTTCCCTCAAATAAAGCTGCACGTCAGATGAGCTACTACCCCCTGCCCCGTGGAGAAAACAGTAAACCACAGCACGAGTTTCCACAAACAAAACAAAGGGCAGCTCTTGTTTCCTAACTCCCACAGGGCATCACGAAGACAGATGGGTGGCACTATAGATAGATAGTGGGCAGCGTTACAGGAGGGGAACACTGAGCTTTGGAGCACTCGCTTGCAGCGGGCGGTCCGACCACTTGCCCTCACCTGGACCTCTTCGTGTTTCTCTGTACACATTGAGCCCAGGGTATTGGTGCAAATGGTGACACTCTGCTAAGTGCTGTGTGAGCGGTAAAATCCTCTGTCTCTAACCAAGAAGTTCTGCATCTTGTGCCAGCACTTATGAAATTGCAAATAACAGGCTTGGAGAAAAGGACAAATTTTAGACCCCTCACAATTTTTGAAAAGTAAAGTAAGTGAAGAAAAGAAAAGTAGAAAAGTAAGCTAACGAATCAAGCATGTAAATAATTAGAATAAGAATGAACAGATTAAATTATGTGCTTTGTAGTTAGAAACAAACTCCTAGTTTGGGCATAAAATCCGTCTAGGTGATTTTCTCCAGAAACTCATGTAAACATGGGGGAAAAGTATGAGAGGAAAGGCAAGCACTGATTAAAAACCACTTCAAAAACATAAAACATTGTCATGAAAGGGGAATCACTCTATATGATACCATGAGCTATTGGGCAGAGTAAATAAAATCTCAATTGACATGTACCTATAGATATAGCCTCAGAAATGCTGTAGCAGAAATGGACGAGATTACGTGATATAACTGACAGATATGTCAACCCAGTGGGAGTTTTGTAAGTAAAAATAGAGATCTGAACAACACAAGCTAGGAGGGCTTATTTTGAATCCTGTGTTCAGTAATTAGAGGATGCGTGTTCTTTGTACGAACAACGCAACATTTACAAGATGCGCTTTTACAGTACATCACCAAAATAAAGCAGAAAGAAATTTCAACCAACCTTGAAGAAATAATATCACACACTGTGATTTCTAACCACAACACAATAACATAAATTGATAGCAAAATAAACCAAAATGAGAAATCCAACTCAAATAAGTTTGGCAGAAGGAATAAGTCATAAAATAAGTTATGAATATTTAAAACAGAACATTAGTGAAAGATTATAAGTATAAATATGTACAATGAATTTCAAATTTACTTAGTGGGGAACTTATGCAGATGGTCCCTGACTGCCATGCTCTAATTTATGATTTTTTTTGCTTTTTAGATGTGCCAAGGCAACATGCATTTAGTAGAAACCATACCTAAAATATTAAAGTTTGATTTTTTCTTGCTCCAGGGGTACTGGTGTGATACTCTCTCACAATACTGTGAAATGGCATTACAATTCCTACTGAGCCAGTGATGTTCCACAGTGTACTATGTTGTTAAGCCATGATGCTGGGCGTCTTAGGTGTAGTCAGGCATTTTCAGCTTGCAACATTTTCACTATAATAATAATTTACTGGGATGTAACCACATTGTGAGTTAAAAAAGTGCATCTAATCACGAGTGCAAAAACCAGAGGGAGTGAAAATTACTGAGTTGTGAACCTGATTCAGGAGAAATAAAATAGTAAGAAATTAAATTCACAGGTGTAGAAATAAATGATGATGGTGAGAACAGAAATTAGCAAGACAGGAAATGCAATAAACAGCATCAACAAAACTCTTATTTATTTTAAAAGCCTAACAGCTTAAGGCACAGTTTTGGACATATTGACCAAAGAACTGAAGAAAGAAAATACAAATAAGTGGAACAATTTGACTTAAAAGAAATGTAATACAATTTTTAAACTCTTAGTGAGTTTGTTCCAAAAAGCATTTACCAATCTATTCAAGAGAGTTGAAAAACACATAGATTGCTATGAAAATTATTTATGAAAATCAAATGCAGCTGGATTAGAAAATCTGCAAAGACCTGTAACCATGTTCTGTGGTTTGAACGTCTGCTCCAGTTGTGCTGTGTAGGAAATCTACTCCCCAGGCAGCCGTGTTGAGCGTTGAGAGTGTAAGGAGTGCTTGGTCGTGAGGCTGGTCCTGGGGATGGTGAATGTTGTCATTGTGGCAGTGGGCTCTTTGTCTCAGGAACAGGCTTATCAAAACAGTGAGCTCAGCCCTCTCTTTTTCTGTTGTGTTCCCTTGCGGTTTACCTTCCTCCACAGGGTAATTCAGGGAGAAGGCCCTCACCACGTGGTAGATCCTGATTTCAGACATCTCAGCCTCCAGGACTCTTAGAAATAAATTTCTTTTCTTTATAAAGTATTCAGTTTGTGATATTCTGTTATAGTAACATGAAATGGATGAAGGCTACATTAAAGCACTTAAACTACTAGTTGAACCTCTACTTTCTTCCAGATTCCTTTCCCTTCACACAAAGAAAAGATACACAAACTAAAAAGAGGTATGCAAGAGTACTAAACTGTGCAGAACCAATAGTTAATTATTCTACTCTATGGGGAATAACAAAACATCAATTAACTTATACACAGAAAATAACTTGGTTGGCTTTAGCTCAAGAATCCAGCAGCTTTGATAGATATGCTTAAAACATTTGATAAATGAAAACCTATCATTAAAACTGTCTTTATATCTGTAATAAGGGGTATTTGCACAATCTCCAGGTTATGTAACCTGTGGTTATTAGTATAATTAAAAAATGCAGCAGTTAACATGAATGAAACACAGATCTACTTTTGCTGTTGCTGCAGTACGAGGGGATTAAACCTAGAGCTTTGAGCTGAACTACATCCCCAGCTGGTTTGTAGTTTATTTTGAAACAGGGCCTCACTAAGCTTCCGACTTGCCCAGTTTGGGTGGACTTACAGTTCTTTACCTTAGCCCTCAGAGCGCTAAGCCTAGTGGTGTGGGCCGCTGTGCCCGGCTCAGGTACACTTTAGTAAACATGCATATAGCTAAAAAATATGAAGATGAAGGACATCTAGAGCACAAAGGTGACATCACTTTGCAGATACTTAAGATAATTTTACCTTTTATGGAGATGCTCTGATATAATAATAGAGACAGCATTGGGCAAGCGTTTCCCAGTATTAACATAACAATACAGGGGCTGGGGATTTAGCGCCTGCCTGGCAAGCGCAAGGTCATGAGTTCGATTCCTGGTACCGGAAGAAAAACAAAAAACAAACAAAAAAAAACATAACAGTACAATTAGCATGATAATGTGTTCTAAAATAGTTTTAGTGTAGATATCTGAAGCAAATATTTTAAATTAATGATATTAATTTTTGTGGTATTTTTATTGTACATAGCTACACTTTAAAAGTATTTCATAATTTAAAAAATATTTTTTAAAGTTACTATTATATTTTGATACTTTAAACTATTATTGTAAGAAATTTGCTTTTATTTAAAGTAGTAGATTGTTGAGTTAGTGCTTTATATATAGTAAGTACTCAGGAAGTTATTACTGAAATTATAAAAATATCCTGAATATACCTACGGGGAATTTGGTTGTTACATACAATTTGCAAAGCGCAATTATTTTGATTTTAGAATGGTATAATAGTCACTGCTTAGCTACTTTTTACAAAGGCAGCAGTTGCCCACAATTTTAGGTGAGGATAACCCTAAATCAATGTCATCAACGTTAAGTGCTTTCTTTTGAGAGGAATACTTATCCATTCATTACTTCCAAGGGGTGTGGAGTAGGCTTCATTTCAGGAAGGTCTAGTATTGGAGTGAATCTTGCAAGCCTCTCCTGTCCTTTATTACATTCTCTCTGTGGGAGAAGGATTGACTAAACTGGTTAGGAACACTAGCATTTGATCTCGATCAGGCCGTATGTGCCAAGGTAGGGAAACTGCCTTGGAATACATTTTGCCTGTTATCCTCCCAAGGTGCTTTGCTGCTTCTGTGTTTTCTCTCCCTCCTACCCTCTGTCTCTCCCCTCCCCCCTCATACCTGTGCTACTGTCTTTCTGCGTCCTTCTGGGTATGAGTGTCTGTTTCTGAGCTCTTTGTACCAGGAAGTCCTCAGTGGACTATTATCCTTTCTCTGCTTCTCTCCTTGTCTTCCTGTGATAAGCTCTCTGGGACAAGCCTTCCCCCTCATTCTCTGAGTCTTAGGGCAGAAAAAAGGAAGGCTCTATTGCCCTCAGAGTTCCCTCACAGTTTTCCAAACCATTTCCATGGGAACTATGGTAATTTAGACAGTGAATTCAGTAACTTGTGCTCCATCTTGGCTTCCTGGTCTACTCCAAATTATTCAGAGCCTGTCAAGCACGGGTGTGATGTAAGTAGAACCCTTTATTTCCGTCAATTTCCTTTGCTTCTTTTATATGATCGTGCCATTCTATCCAATTAATGAAAAATAGTTCTCACTAAGCAGATGTTTATTAAAAGCAAGGTGTGTGTGTTTATATATATATACATTTGGTTGGTAGACATTCTGGTTTATTCCATTTCACACTATAAATTGTTCATAATATGTTTTGGCACTGCTAGTTCTGTTAACAATCTAAAAGAGCATTTACACACCTGGGATACATAAAGTCCTCACCAACTTAAACCTGCTGAAATAACCAGTTGCGGTGACTGCAGTAAAATGTCTTACTTAGCCACAGAGTTTCCTGACACTCGGGTTGATTGTGAGGCTCTTCATAGGGACTTCAGACTTTGTGAAGTGGGGTTAATTATGGGATTCACTGTTAAACTGTAGGAATTACTTGGAAAGAAATGTGAACTTGGCATCATCCCTGTTCCGGCTCTATAACTATCAATAGCTAACTTTGTGAGTTTGCATGAACCAAACCAAAATGAAACACGCCCACCACCAGGGTTCTTATTTGTGCACGAAGACGTGTTAAAGTCCTTGTAGATATGCAGCTGCTTAGTCCAAACATGAGTGTCAGTGAAGCTGAAGGAATTCTCATTTCGTTAATCAAATATCTGAGAGAACCAAGGAAAGATATCCTAAGAGAAGTGGACATGGATTTGGCTTTGAATGGTGTGCTTTACTGGCCACAAACCGTAACACTTTCTCACTTTATATGATTCATAAATATATGTAGAGTTTTGCTTTGTGTTGTTGAATCCTGTGGAAGACCATATTTGGGCACGAAGTAGACACATTAGTGAATGGTGTAACACTGACTGTACTTTGGTTATATTTTGAGCCCTTCCACAGCTCTTACTTTGAAATTACTAATGTTTCCTTGTAGGTTGTTTTTAAATATCACAAAAATGGTTAATAGGGCTGCAAAATAAGCCTGGGCTTCAAATCAGAAAGATCTACATTCAAAGCCTAGGTCTGCTGGTTTCCAGTTACAAACTTCACAAATTGCTTTTCTTCTCGCTTCAGTTTGTTGCATATTTGCTTCATGATGAGTTTTTGTTAACTTGGATTTTTATCTATGGCCATTATCAGATCAAATTGATTCCCACTGGTATTTCACTTTCATCTTTGAAATTATTTCATGTGTAGATAAAGACACAAGTTCAAAAGCACTGTGTATGAAAGAGACTGCATTCCGGGGTAATTTATGTGCACACAGACACTGAGGGACGGAAATAAGAAAGAGAAGGCAGAAAGGGAAATTTTACCTCATGAACTTCTCTTCTCCCTGGGTTAATGGCAACTTTCAGATAATGACTGTGTTTGTGGCTCATACATTTTCAGAACATATTATGTAAATGTTGCATTATTATTTATATCACCACTCGTAGAGATTGAACTTCTTGACAAGGGAATTTGTGCCAAGTACGTAGTGTGTATTCAATGAATGTAATGCGTTGTTTCGATGAGGTAGAAAATAAACATGGGTTTGTTGAACATTTTGTTTCCTAGTTGTTACAGGAAATAGCCATCCGAAGTAAACCTGTAAGCCAGCAATACCAAGGACTTGAGAGATTCTTTACTTTTGATACAAATGAAAGACGCAACTTACCTCCTCCTCCTAGCTTACCATACCGGTATTCCCAGAGTAGGATTCCACTTTCAGGTAAATTCAGACATTAAGCCAGCTGACCTACGGACCAATTTAACAACTTCCCAAGTTCTTTATTTTTATAAATGGTCTATCAACATAGTAATAAAATTATTTTCTTCCTGCCTAGTTAAAATCATTAATCCTGTTTGAATTGCTGTGTTTTTACATCCCAAGCTGCTTTCAGAATATGAGATAACATTCTAATAAAATTGGGGGAAGAATATTTTAGAATTCAAAAGTATAGCTGTTGTCATTTTAAGAGAGCACAGACTCTTTGAATCACTTCATTAGCTAAGTATTATATGAGAGTCTTTAAATTTCATCTTTTAAAAAATAAAGTCTTAGCATCTGCGAAATTCATGAGATATGGTTGTAATTTCCTCTTCTCTCAAATGTTTCTTAGTGTGGTAAAATACACATAATTCAACCTTTACGATCTGCACCGTTTTTATCTCCACAGTTCTGAGGTAGTAAGTAACGTTCATAACCTGTGCCCTCCTCGCCACCACTCCTCTCCAGAGCTCTTTTGATCTTGTAGAACTTAACTGGATACTCCTTAACCAATGACATGGCTCCCTCTTCCTCCAATCCCCAGCAAGCACCACGCTGCTTTCTGGTCCCACCACTCTGAGTAGTGTAGGTAATTAGTACGTGGACTTGTACTGCACTTCTTGTTTTGTGACTGGTTGATTCCCGTCGGCATTGGCTTTAAGTAGTTTCATTCCCATTACAGCATGCATAAGAACCTTCTTTCTCCTTTATTACAAGATACAAAAATATGAGACTAGAAAGTTGAAGCTCTGTCTGCCCAGTTTTTCTTTTATGCATCTAACCCAAACCTCCAAGACTCTATGAGGTGGAATTTGAAAGTCACTATTAAAATCAAAAGATGTCTAAAAAATAAAAAATAACTTACTGCTGTCAAAAGCAGGACAATATTCGGTTTTTATGGGTTCACCACCTCGTTCTTATTCATCAATCCCTCGGTGAACACGTGGGTTCTTCCACCTTCAGTTATCTTGCGTAATGCTGTTACGAACATGAGTCTCAATGAATTTGTCTTCAGTATTCTGCTATGACTTCTCTTGAGCTGAATCCTGGAAGTAGAACAGCAATTTGACTTTTAATTTTTTAACAACTCCCATAGTCTTTCTCACAATCACCACACCATTTACATTCCAACCAGCAGCGCACAAGAGTTCCTTCCACTCGCTCTAGACCCTTGACAACTGTTGTTATTTTCTGTTTTGTTTTGTCTGAGTGGTATATCATTGGAGTTTAAATTTGTATTTCTTGGGGGCCAGGGATATAGCTCAGTAGCACAGCGCCTGCCTGGCAATCACAAGGTCCTGAGTTCAATTCCTGGTACCAGAAAATTTAAAAAGAAATCACTGAATTTGTATTTCTCTGACAGTTAGTGATGCTGAGCATCGTTGAATGTGCTTGTTGAAATTTGCATTTATTCTTTGGAATGATTCTGTTCAAGGCCTTGGCACAGTGCTTAGTGAGGCTTGGTGTTGCTCCTGAGATATATTTTATGCTGGATGTTAATCCCTTACACGTGATCTGAAACTTTTCCTCTCATTCTGTGAGTTGCCGTTTAGGTCTAATGTTAGTGTTATTTGATGGGGAATTAGTCTTTAACATCATGAAGTTCAATTTCTGTATTTTCTATGTTGCTTCATCTGCCTTTTCTTTAAGTCTGTGAGGTCATTTCTAAATGCAGTGTTCTGAAATTTTTGCCCTTTTTTTTCTAAAAGTTTTATAGCTTTCCAGTCTTACATTACATGGATCTGTTTTTAGTTAATTTTTGTACGTAGTACAGTGAAGTTCCACATTCATTCATTTCCTTATATATTTCAAGTTTTGCAGCATCGTTAGTTGAAAAGACTGCCCTTTTCCCACTGAATGATCTAAGTACTCTTGTAAAAAGTCATTTGATTAAGAGAGTAGATTTTAAGTGTTCTTATCATATGCAGAAATAAAAGTACTTTAGGTAAAACATATGTTAACTTGCTTTAGTCATTCAACAATGTATAAAGATTTTAAAATGTTATGTTGTCCATAAATATATGCAATTTTTGTATCTAAACCAGAACAATTTTTTCCTGTGGGAGCGGGCCCATTCCTGAGACTTCGTCCAGCCAGTGCTGTGTTCTTTGATGACTGTGTCTTTGCAGTTGTTATAAGATCAGGAAATGTAGAATCTCTTCGAATATGTCCTTGTGTTTTCAAGTTTGTTTTGGTTCTTTAGGGTGACTTACGATTTCATATTAGGATGACTTTTTCAATTTCTACAAAAAAATACCATGGCTTTTAACAGGGATAGCATTGAGTTTGTAAATTATTTCAGATTCTGTTGGCATCTTTACACTAAGATCTTGCAGTCCATGACCATGTGGTGTATTTCCATTTATTTATGTCTTTTAAAATTTTTTCAGAAGTTTTCTCTTTTTTTATTGTTTATACCTTTTATATCCTTGGTTAATTCTTAAATGTGTTACTCATTTATGGTAATGAGAAATGGAAAAATTTCCTTAATTTATATTTTGGAATGTTCATTTCTAGTATAAATAAATACAGTTTTTATTTAATTATTTATTTATTTTTGGCCTAGCGACTTTGTATCCGGCTATTTTGCTGAGTTTTATGGAATTTTTAGGGGTTTCCTTACATTAAATTATATCATCTTTAAAGAGATGATTTCACATGTTCCTTTAGGATTGGGCTTTCTTTTTTCCTTTGATTGCCTAATGTCTTTGGTTAGCACTTCCAGCTCTATTTTCAGTAGAAGTGGTGAAATTACGCATTTTTCCTTGCTCCAACTCCTACAGGAAAGATTTCAGTCATTTACCTTTGAGTAGATTTGTTGTGCCATTTCATATGAGACTTTTATTGTATGCAAATGGTTTCCCTCTATACCTAGTTGTTGAAAATTCTTATCATACTACATTTTGTCAAATGATTTTTCTGCATCATTCTAGATTATTATGCTTTTCCTTTTCTTCAATTGTTATGTTATATTGCACTGATGGGTTATTGTAGGTGAAGTCATCCTTGCATTCCTGGAGCAAATTTCATTCCATCCTGATGTAATTGTTACAATATACTGCTGATTTTCTTTGCTAATAGTCTGTTGAGTTCTTCACTATTTATATTAAATATTTGTCTAAAGTTTTCTTGTAGTGTGCTTTGTTTGACTTTGATATCATTGTAATTTTGGCATCGTAGAATGAATTACAAAGTGTTCTCCAAGTTTTTGAGGAAGTTTGAAAAGGACTGGCTTTGGTTAGTTCCTTAAATGTTGGCAGAACTCACCAGTGAATCCATTAGGTCCAACACTTTCATTTATTTGTTGGGAGATTTATCTTTCATGCTACTGAGCCTTTTCACTAAGATACATCATTAACCTGCCCCTTCCTTCTTTCCTTCCTTCCTTCTTTCCTTTCCTTTCTTCTTTCCTTCTTTTGTCCTTCCTTCCCTCCTTTCTTCCTTTCTTCCCTCCCTCCGTCCTCCCCTCCTTCCCTCCCTCCCTTCTTCCCTCTCTCCCTTCCTTCTTTCCTCTCTCCCTCCCTCCCCATCCCTTCCCTCCTTCCTTCCTCCCTCCTCTCTCTGTCTTTGTCTTTCTCTTGCAATCCTCCTGTTTCAGCTGGGATTATAGTTGTATGCTACTACTCTCAGCTCTCAGTATTCTTAAAAGTTATATGTGTATTCAAATTTTCTATTTCTTGTTGATTTTGTAGTTTCAAGTTTAAACCTAGGTTTTGATGTCATCTATATTACTTAGCATTCTTTATGTGTATTCTTACATAAATTATTATACTCTATATTACACTGTTATATGCCTTTAAAATATTTTAGACTCATATATGTGTTATCTTTGCAATTGACAGTTTTTATTTTTTAATAGATATAGAAAGTCAATGGTTTTTATTTCATAGGCATGAGATTCTGTATTTTATAATGTAACTTACTGTTATGTATATTAATTGGGTAAGTATTGTTTGGGAAAGTAATAAACATAATACACTAACACCACGGACCTACCTCATTTGACGCTGTATTGTACCTTTTTCCTCTTCAGCGGGCAGAGAGTGGATCCCAGATAGCAGCGTGAGCGCGCACGCGGACGGTGCGGCTGCCCCGGGAGTTCTGCAGAGCGTCCAGCGCGCGCTGCCAACTGCACAGCGGCAGGAGATGGGTGAGGTGGCGTCAAGGGCACAGTGACGTGTGGCTGGGTCCTGAGTTTCACAAGTTTGTTTCCGTACACTAGGAGACACTGAAAGTTAGTGTATGTTAACTAAATGTTTTGGTTCTTTTCTATATGCAAAAAACCAAAACACCAATATATTTATTTATTATGCCTCTAAAAACATGAATTGTAGTCCTGGTTATTTTTATATTGAGGTGTTAAAATGCAGTATTCTTTAAGCGTAGGTTAGGCTATGGTGTGTTTTCAACAGTCCTCATAGAATACACACCCAGTTTCATCACACAGACCAGAGTAATGTTTTATAGCAGATGTCATAGTCTCCCACTTGTTCCATATTACGATTGGGTGTAATTATATATAAAATGAATGGCTGAGCTTAAGTTTGCTACTTGGAACTGTGATCAGGTAGCTTGTTTCTAAATTTAGTGCCTAGGATCTTGATTTCAGTTCATTAACTCCACTCTACAGCCAAAGTAACTGCATGATTTCCCGTAAGGTAACTTTAGGGACGTTGAACATCCACTGTAACATTTTCCTAATGTGTATACCACGGGTGTTTTTAAGTCGTTACTCTTACTCCATTATACTTGCTTAAGTACATTTGTTTTGTGTTGCATTTTGTATGTAAGATGCAATAGGTAGCTTAATCAGGGTAATTCAGCACACGTGTTGGGTACGTTAGCATTAGGGTAGGCCCTGCTGTGAAAGGATGGGAAGTGTCATTCCCCTGGGGACTCAACTTACGGGGAACACTTGACAGAAGTGGGTTATTCACCTTGGTTTAAAGCCTCTCGTCAAGCCAGTAATTCATTTACAAATGGTCTGTTCATATACCTAAGATTTATGTCTCTTTTTCCCCAAACACCATGATTAAATTTCCTTGCCTAGCTGAGATCCTTTCTATATGTACTTACGTTGAGAATCTGTCAGATATTTTTTCAGTAGAAAAACCACCCATTTATATAAATTTTTTTTGGTGCTATAATTAGATCTCTGTTCTCACATAAGATTCCAAAGCAGTTTCAAAAATTCTGGTTGCTTCTTTTGGAGGTAGTTAGAAAGAACTGTTCTAAGTCATTGTATATTGACAAAAATAAACTCATGCTATGAGAAATTTGTTACTGAGACAAAACTTTATAAATAAGCAGCCAATTGCTTTAAGTATCAATTTGGACAGATAAATCAAAGGCAGTCATTTACTGTGGGTAACATTTGTTGGGGCCCCTGCTTTAGGCCTGGCACTGCCTGACACAAGTGGTACAAAACCGTTTCTGTGGCCTGAGAGTTCAGGGTAGAGGTTCTTAAGGAACGCTGTCAGCCGTGAAGCCTATTATAATGCAATTCTAGATTGAACTCAGAGATACCGATCGCACAGGCTTGGGTAAGGCCCCAGAATTTGCATTTTTCAACAACTCTCTGCATCTTGCTATAGATAGTTAAAAATTCATAGAAAATTGCAACATGGATAGGCAAATACATAAATTACCACATAAACTGTGGTAAGCTTTATTAAGTGGTGCATCAACAATAGACTTTTGGAAATTGATAAGTAAGTAATGACAGTACATCCTACCAGGTATAATACAAGTAGGCATGCAGTGTCGTAGGAAGGCAGGTGATGAAATGATGACTCTGCCACTGAAAAGTGTCGATGTGCAAGGTGTTAGAGACTGGGTGGTATTCCAGCTGAGTCTTTAGAAAGGAACAACAATTAGTAGTTGGGAGAGTTGGGAAATGGCTTCCTGGACAGAGGTAGTGGCCTGAAATAAGTGTTCTTGGCCATGCCAAAATCTTATATTCTCAGTTGCTGCCAGTGTATAAAGGGAATCTAATTTCTGTGAGATTTTAACATTCGTCACTCTAAAAATGCAACAGCTGTGAAATCATTATTTGTTTAACAGCAAGTCCCTCGAGTCTCCCCACGCCCGGGAAAGACATACCTGACTCCTACGCCATCTTCCTGTTCTTGCAAATGGCAACATCGCCCAATTAGGCCGAAAACCTGGGCATCAATTTGACTCACACTCGGGACAATCTGCTCATTAAAGATCTCAGTGCTGTCCCTCCAAAATGCAGCCCAAATCTCAGAGCCACTTTCCTGTTTATGACTCAAGTGGAACAAAAACCAGTTGTCCATCCTCTCTCACTTGCCTTCCGATTTCAGTTTTTCCTCCCCAAACCATGTTGCTGTGATTAATTTCCATCAAATGTTACTGTTCACAGTCTATGAGTAAAGTATTTATATTTATTTATGGTCTAATATTATTTATATTTATAGTTCATAGGGAATGAATTCTGCCTGTCGTAAATTTAAACCATGCATGGTATCGTGTCATTCTGCTTAAAGTCCTCTCGTAATTTCCCACAGAAGGGAGAGCACTGGGCAGATATGTATTCTTTCCCATGCGCCACAGCAATAGTTGAGTCAGTTACTTGTCCTTTTTAACCATTGCTTCTTCCAGAGTGCAGCGCACTGCCTCCTATCTGCTGTTAGGTCGGCTGCGCTCTTGGCCTGAGTGGGAAGCAGGGTGCTCTGCAATCTCCGAGTTCATCCTCAGACTCTTTTTTATATGACTGGATCTTCCCACTTGCCTCACTCCAGACATGTCTTCAGAGAGTCTTTAGACCACCCTAGGTAGTAACAGACTCTTGAAACACCATCTTTCTCACTGTCTGAGAGTATCTTGTTAGTTTTGTGCTGTTAGAAAGAAAGCACCTATCTTATTCATTGGTGTGTTGTTGCTGGCAGAACAGGGTCTGCTACATGAGAAATTCTTGGCAAGTATTTCAGAATGAATGAAGCAGGATAGAGAGACTGTGTGTTAGTGTGGAGAGCACCTAGAGGGTAGGGGGAATGTTTCATTTACTTTGGAGTATCCTGATCATGACACTGTGCTTGGGAGTTTCAGGAGATAATAAATTATTTTTATAACTGAATTGGACTGAGTATTAAATCACAAATTCCCCCAATTGGACAGAGTTGAAGGGGTTATAGTGTCCAATTACTGAATCTTACAGGTGAGATATGAGTTGTCATGTCAGGTCATAAATTGATTTCTGACTGAGAAATTTCTAGTTGAGAAATTTCGAACTGAAATGAGACAATAATGTACCTAGTTATCTAGTGCTTTTATTTTCCCTCAGCTGTACCACTCAGTACAATTTTGTTTTGTGCTTCTAGAACACTAATAAAAATATATTTATCTCAGCACGTTAGACAATGGAACAAGAATGTCACTAGACAATAATGTCAGTAGACAGCCATGGAATTTCTTCAGGATCAAAATATTGGCTCCTTTCATAAGAATGTTATCTGTTAGTGAGCTATGACCCCAAAAGGATGTTACTGTACTTATATTTTTCAAATTTTATCCACACTTTTGAGCTCTTTATATCACTGTATTTTATCTTCCCAGTGTTGGTGTGGTTTAATTAGTAATTACAGGACAAGTATTCTTAGCAAACACTAAGCAAAATTTATTTTGTTATATTTGAGCATAACTAACATCAGTTTAAATCATTTTAAAGTTTATATTACCAATGATGGGGCAAGTTATTCCCAAAGTAATTTCCTGTGTTCATACTACAGACTAGGCTGTTCTCGTTATGGGATGATCACCTCAGCAATGTCACATTTCATCAGTGCTACTTTTAATGTTGTGTCAAATGTTCTCTTTAACAATAATATTAATAAGCTTGCTGATTGCTAGAGAGAACGATACACTTGCCCAAATGAACAGGAAATAAACAAAACCAGGGACTACATTGGGCCTTCCTTGATCTCTTTTCATGTTTCGGTTACATTAAGTTATACTTGAGTGTGTTTGCAGTAAGAAGGATGGTCCGTCTTGTTTGTGGTATGCTAAGCATAAGTCTGACCCATCCTCTGTGTATTTTTTCTCTCAGCTGGGATCAATTAGCTTCAAATGCTGTGGCAACCAGATGTTGTTGTAAGAGTTCAGCAAGAGTTCTACTCTCAGGAGTTTTCTGAAGGGCATCTAAGTTATTTTAAATTTCTCTCACTTTATAGTTTTCTGCAGTGGCAGAAGTCCAGTTTTTACTAATAATATCCTCTTTTGTTTGCCTTAGTTTAATAAGTGTTCTAAATCCCTTTGAATTTTACCCTGTGTGAGATGTATCATAATACGGCATCATGGCTTGTGTGTCCATGTCCCCCCCAGAGCCTCACGCGGTCATAGGTGGGACTTTTCAGAGGGGGCTGGATCTAGACTGTGTGATGCTGGGGTGAAGGATGTGATAATTCATGATGCTGTGCTGGGATTCAAACTGCTCCACCCTGGGTGTGAGTGCTGCCTGCCCTAGGGTGGGTGAACTGGATAAAATGTAAGGGACAGAAAGAGGGCTGTTGGCATTGCTTGCAGTCATTACTTCCCTGCCTTGCTGCTTTGCTGCCCTCTGTCCATCATTAACTGCTTCTCCACTGGGACGGCCCTCTGCCAGGCCACCCTGCTGTGGAGCCAGTTGACTGCGGACTGAAACCTCCACCAACCGTGAGCTGAAATAGACCTTTCGTCCTCTAACTTTGGGCGCTGGGTATTTTGGCTGGGCAACGAAGAAGAGTAACTGAGACACGGAAGCAAGAGCGCAGTGTCCCCTGCAGGGCCGGCCCCGTGGGTTTTACCCCGTCTGGCGCTGCTGCTCCTCCGCTCCAGCTCCATTCGGGAGGACGGGCAGGCTTGCTCTCCTTGATGGGGACAAGTGAAATACTGATTCTTTGAATGTTACAGATGAAAGAGGGAACCACTTCTAAATACCAGTTATTGAAATAATTCTTAGGTATGCCCATATGTTATTATATGTGTATTATAATACGTATAATAGCATATAGGCATACTTTTCTCTGTTATTTTTATTCAGAAGCTTAAATGAACACAAAAGGGTCAGAATCTAATTTCATTGTAACAAAGTGTTTTCAAATTTGATTTCTGCAACATTTATTAAAATTGGTGCCTCTTGCGATTTGCCTTAGCTTTGCTTGCTTAAAAATTGCATATTGCTTCATGGGATATTAATTACATTTGAAGTAGACCTTTTTTAAAGAAAAATACAAATTCAATAGTTAATGACATGTTTCATGTAGGACAACTGCCTGTAGCCACTGCTTTGAATTTTGCATTTTCCTCTGAGTAGAATGGGCATAATGTTATACAAGAGCATATCATATGTAATAAAATCATCATTTTATGATAATGACAGTTGCACCTCTTTAAAGAATCCAGTGCTCTGTACAAACCAGTTTTGTTTTTTTTTTTTTTTTTTTTTTGGTTTTTCTCCAGTACTGGGAACCGAACTCACGACCTTGCACTTGCCAGGCAGGTGCTTTGCCACTGAGCTAAATCCCCAGCCCCCAAACCAGTTTGTGTTAAAAACACAAAGGTTGACATTATATATATTTTAATTTAAATATTTTATATTAATTATGCTTTAGTATATTTAAAAGTATACCTAGCCCTGAAATTTTACATTTGTTCCTTCAAATTTTCATTGGTCTTCAATAAATAATCTTTTATAAGAAATACAAAATTATAAATTAGTTTTGTGTGGGATTTGAAAGAATTATTTTTCTTATTGTGAAAAACCTTACATGTTGAAGAGACCGATGTACCTGAGCTTTGAACCAGGTAGAGATAAAGTAGTGCCTGAGTTACTACCATGTAGTAACCTGTAGCAACAATGTGAGAACAACAGAATAACCTGACTTAGAGTGGAGCTCCTGGAACTTTTACACTAATGTACTATGTAAGGCAATAGAAAATAAACTCATACTTAGGAAAATTATAATGTGATCTCCATCTCCTTAGAGCTTGTGATTTTCTAAAAATACACACAGATTTTACCTACTAGTCTAATTCATCTCCATATTTCTAACTTAAAAATAAATTGCATATCACCAAGTAAATTGATTCAGTAGGAAGTGGTACAGTGTTTATTCTATGGCTTGCTTTCTCTGCAAGGTGTAATTTGGTATTCTTCAGGAATTCAGCAAACATCATGGCATTTGGCCTTGGAATAGACCGTAAGAGGTGTATTGTGCTCAGCTGAAGTTAACTTGTTTTACAGAGTTTTGATTTAGTGAATATTAAAATTAATTTGCCTTTTTCTGAATGCAAAAGATAGGGGAAAATTAGTGAGAAATATTCTTCATGTCATTGGGAAAGGAATTTGAGATTAACAAATTATGTTTAGCTAGAAAAGATGACAAATTGATTTTCCATAACTGTTTTTCCATTCACAGCTCTGTGTTCAGGAGTTTGGGATTTTGATTGTTAAACGATCACTTGTGATTTTAATATAGTTTATTTGATTTTTTTTCTTTTTGTTTTAGGACAGAAATCACAGAGACCTTCAACAGCAAATTTACCACTTTCCCACAGTGTTAAAAAGAGCTCCCGCTGCCTTTCGTCCCCTCATCCTCCATCAAGAAGTGCAGCAGCTCGGTCTTTAACCAGATCTGCTTCTGAAACTTCAGACACTGAATATGCTGATAGAACTGGCCTCAGTGTGCCTTTCTTAGATGACGCTGGTGACCAACAGGACTTCGACAGTTTGGAAAAAGAATTACGTATGCTTAGAAATCTTGCAGGTAATGCTATTTAACTCATCCTAGATAGGATAACTCTCCCCTTGCCCTTACTCTTTACAATCTTTCTTTCAAAGACAAGCACTCCAATGAAAAAGGCTTCCCTTTGTAGCCTAAGCCATCACAGCCCACGCAAAGCACATCAGACCTGGGGCACACGGAGTTTCAAGCGAGCAGAAAAACAATAAACAAACAAGAACGCCACCAAAACCCGTTTTTCCTTTCTACCAAACCAGTGGAGGGTTAATCTTCATAGTTTTATGAAGGCTAGTGCTCCCCAGCCTTGCTGGAAATGAAGCTGGTGGATCTCCTAAAGCAGGGCTTCTCAGGCTTTAACCCGGGCACAGATTCACAGAGTTTGTTAAGTGCAGATTCCGCCTCAGTGTGTCTGGGTTGGGGGCTGAGACTGTGCACATCTTACATGCACCAAGTGTACCAGGGGGCTGAGATTGTGCACACCTCACACGCACCAGCTGAACCAGTGGGCCTACTTAGTGCGGTTTGAGGAGAGATTATACTTGTGCATTCTACTTCCAACCTCAGTGGACGTATTTTGCCAAACAGTGATGGTACCTTGAACACCTAAAGGTCTGGTCCAGGGATACACTCCTCTTATTATCGTCAGCAAGGCATTCGCTTCATCTGGAGAGGAACCAACTGCAGAGCAGAGAAGCAGGCTGGAAAATTCACTGCTTCTGTGTACTGTAGACTCAATCCTTTTTTGTCATTAGTGGCCTCTTCAATGTTTTCAGAACTTTTTTTGAAAAAGTTTCATCTTCATCTTGAAAATTTTAAGCAATAAAAAACACAAAAAAGCAGCCCCCCCAATCTTACTATTACTCCTAAAACAAACTTTTTAAACTTTATAATGAGCTTCATTTTAAACATCTCTTTGTACCATAAGCAAGAAAATAAAAACCGTTTGGAAGGATGAGTAGCTGGGTGGAAAAGGCAATTTTAGGAGCTAGGCTTATACTCCTTTACATGGTCCTGTTAACCTTGTATAGATGGATGCCCTGAACTTGACAAAAACTGAAACGACACTTTTGTAGACCAAAACAATTTACTTTTCACTAATTTATGTGGTTAAACCTGATTTTTATAACTGTTTCTTTAAAACTTAAGGAAAAACATGAAAAGAAATGGTAGGCAATTGAGGCAATTTGTGACTATATATTTTAGTTTTCCACAGTAACAAATCTGTATAAGAAAACATGAGGAACCATTTGTTCATATTTTTAAACTATTTGCTAATCTAGATAATACTGAAGGCACACTGTGATAGTTAAGGTTTATCATTTTGTCATGGTTTCTTTCATCTCCTGTGTGTACATGTATAATATTCAGTATTGGCATTTTCCTCATGACTGACCTGTCTTGAGTCTTTCATTTTGATTTCACTGCAGAAATTTTCATTATGTAATTCTTGATAATGTCTGTCTTTTATCTCTATGGTTGATTGACACATTAGCTAGATTTATTTAATTTGATCACAATTTCCTTTCCTTTGCATTTAGAACACATTTCTCTTCCGACCTTGAATATGGTGCTAGCTACTCCTTCACAGTTGTTCCATTTAAATTTTGCTTGGTTGAATATAATTGTCAAGTAGTTTTCCCTGCAGGTAGTGTCCACGGTAGGTCTATTACCTGAGATCTTGTATGTTTGAAAGTGCCCGCCCTTTATATTTGAATTACAAGCGAGCTAAGAGTAGTAGCTTTGGGTCATCTTACATCTTGTGCATACTGACTTGCCACCTCTAACTCTGAATTTTGTTGTGCAATCATCTGAAGCCATGGTAATTTCTTACCACACACTTTCTTGCATATGACAGGTTTCTTTCCTATCTGAATGTTTGAAAAAATTTTCTTAAAATGAAATGAAATTCAGAACAAAGACTGGATTTCAGTGTCAATAACTCAGCATTTTTTTAAAAATTAGAAGATTTACTATATACAGAATAAATTGTTCTTTGTTTCGGGAAAACTGTGCTTCCTTCAGCAGCATATATGCTAAAATGTTTTCAGGAAAATATCTTGCTTTTATATATTTGAACTGTTTGTTCCATTAGGCTTTCTCCTGCTAAGAAATCCATTTCTTTGGGTTGCACCCTTGTGAAACAATATATTATATTTTCCTTGGTTGTCTTAACCAGTTTTTACTTACCTTTGTGTTTATTATAATTAATTATTTCAAGAGTGTCATATATGCAATGATTTTATTTTTCATCTGGTTATAGTCTACTCTCTGATTTTTAAAAATTATTTCTTAAAAGCTATTGCTTTAACATTTTCTTAGACAATTTTTGGGTAGCTTTTTATTTTAATATCAAACTTTCAGAAAATTTGCACAGTTTCAGAATAGCATGAGAAAATCCTTTATACGTATATACACTTTATCTCAGAGAACTTTTTCTTCTGAAAAGTTTATGAGGATGTAATAAACAATGTGACTCTACCTGTACATATTTCTGTGTGTATTTCCCCCAACAAGAACACCTCTTAAATAACCAGAATACAATGATCAAAATCAGGAGAATTAACATTGATGCAATATGATTCTGTATTCCACAGGGAATACATACAGGATATTCCACAGGGTATACATACAGGATATGTATTCCATAATCTTTTCAAAATTATCCTGATGTTGTTTGCTTATTTTCTCTTTCTGATCTAATCCAAGAATAGAGGCCATCTAATAATTTCCCTCCCATGTTTGACATTATTTCTTGAGATTAGTTTTGCTCAATAAAAAATTGATTTTCATAACTTCTTTTGTAGCCAAAAGACTTTTGAGAAATTCTCTTGCTCTCCTGATCTGTGTTTTCCACCACATGACTGTTTTATCTCGCCGTCTTCTGGACGCTGTGAATTCTTGCGTTCCAGTGTGTTGGCATAACCAATCGCTGTGTCATTTCTTTGTACCTTACCGGTGCACGCTTACTCTGGAGGGGCTTAGTTCATGTGCTCCGCCTTTTCTAGTGGTAGTAAGACCACGCCCTGCCGACCCTCTGCTCATGTGCCTACCATTTGGAATGGGGTATTCTATTCTTTCTGCATCTTGGCCTCACAAAGGCAAGAGGAAGAGCACAGGGCTTGGGATCTCAGTCTCTTCCCGAAACATCCAGGCTTGCGTTCCTTTTCCTAGAATTGTTAAATATTCAGCCTCATTTGACCCGACTTGGAGTGTGATCTGTCTCTCCAGGGACACCTGCAGATTTGTTGTCTTCTTCATTCTGCTAAGATCAATTGGTAGGTGTTTAGAGGCTTTAACAAGATTTCAGATATGTTCCTCTCACTCCCCGTCACTGGCTTTCTCTGAAGTGAGGTGAACTTGGTGAGACCTGTCAGAGTTTGGCGAATCTCGCCTTGTCTGTTTCTAGTAAGTGCTTGTGGGTTAGCTCGGGGATGAAGTGGACAGGGACAGACCTCAGCCGCGCCTCCCTGAATCTTACTGCTTTGGTTCCCCCATGTGTTTCTTATGTGAATTTGTTTGCTTTTCTTTCTTTGATTACTTTTTTGAGCTCATTTCACTTTATTTGGCTTTCATTGACTGCTTCATTAGGGGTTGAGGAATAAGAGTCTGTGATACGCTGTTACTTTTATAGGCTCGCCTCAAGGTTAATTACTAAAATCTCAACTGTAAATCTTCTTGCAGGTAATACCTTAATGCCAGTTCTGAAAGGAAGCACGTCAGGTCTGTGCTGAATCTAAAAGGATAATCACACTGCTTTAAATCATAAGCAAAAGGGCTTCTTATTTGGATAAAATTGATACATTCCATTATTTACCAGTAAAATGTAGTTTACAAACAACTTTTATTAGCCTCTCCAGCTTTTCATTGCCTTCTTCATTTTGGGCTGTTGTGCTCCCCTTTGTACCCCGGCACTCGCTTCCCACACTACCGGAAGCGTTTGCGCCGGGGCAGCGCTCTCGCCTGCGAAAGCAAGCAAGCACGTGCCGAGCAGCCTGAGCGCTGCCGGGGCTTTCCCGTCGGCCCAGCGGCGGCGGGCCGCTGTGCACACACGTCAGCACAGCAGGGGCCTTTCCTCTGGGAAGACTGACTCCACATTCCTGCACACTGTCTGAGGACGCTCGCCTGGTACTCCGAGGAAGAAAAGGGCGACAGTCAACTCAGTCGCCCACTGATCGGTGGGTGACAGGCGCTCCGGGAAGTGGAAGCTCGTGGTTGGGAGGTGACTCCTTCTGCACAAGGTCTTCGTGCTCCGCGGGAGGAAAACCCCACCCTCATCTCACTGTGCGTGATGCAGTCTGGGAAATCTCTTTGCGAGGTTTGGCCTAACACAGCCACAGCCACACATTTTGACTCTTTTTTGAAGTTTTTTAATTTTAAAGATTAAAGAAACTAACAAAACAATAATGAAGACAAAATCCAGCGAGTAATAATAATCACTGGTTGTTTTATATGTAACATTGCTTTATTTGATACTGGTAGCGACTCCATGCGGCAGTCCAGGCAGATTCTCTTCTTAACTCTTTCCTTCAGGCTCAGTTACTGAGGCACTGAGCGATGTAGAACTGCCCTGGGTTTTGCCCAGTGTACATAAGTGAACAGGCAAGTCTGCCTCCACCACCTTAAATTCTCTCTTCAAATAAGGACTGTGACCATTTCAGAGGGAAAGCGCCTGGGCAGAGTCAAGGTTGAGGGATGAAAGCCTAGAAAGAAGAAGAGAGGTGAGCAAGGCAACAAAGTGGAGGAACGGATGACACATGGAGGGGCGGGAAGTAAGGACTCTCAAGAGGGAGGAATGGGGCTCACAGGTTTAGGTGCATCCTCTTGTCCTCACATCTGAAATGTCAGCATGTAGCTACGTAGTTGCGGTAAGTAGTATCTAAGGAGCTTTCTTCTGTTGTTTCTTGTGGAAAAGCAGCCAACCTGAGTGGTTCCTGTTCATTGAATTTTTAACTTCTTGTTTGGTCCTTTTTCTCTTTCTTTCCTTTCTTTGATTAAATAGATATGCTTTCTGCATGGAATGCAGTTCTCTGTGTGTGTTTTCAACCACTTTAGTTTTAGACATGCACCCTGAAACTCTATAGGCGAATTTTCTCCCTATATTTAATTGCTTATTGTTGTGTTTAAAGATTTCTCAATGATCAGAGAACATAAACCCTTACTCCAGGGATAGAAATGATTTAATTTTAATTCATTCTTTTATAATCAGCTGATTTCCTAGTTATAGATTACATTTACAATGTAAATGTTAGTTGAACCTTACTTGGTCTGTATTGGAAAAATCAGAAAATTTGACTTTTTAATTTTGGGTGAATTTAGATCTAATGTTAGCTTTCAGTTCAGTTTTCTTAACAGTTTGATTTTCTCTTTGTTAGTTTTGGCGTTACCTAGAGTTCGGTGATGTCACTTTTACTCCTGCTAACTGTACAGAGCACGCTGAAGTGCAATTTTGAGAATTACTAATTCTACGAAATAGGCTCATCCTATTTGTACTATCTGTGTTTAATGAAAAGTCAAACAGATAATGGAATTTGAATACCTCTCCTGGTGGAATTTCTTAGAGCTAAGCATTACTGATGAGTTTTAGCAATGTAATTTTGCTCTTTGCAAACCCTGAATAGGCTGTTTTCCTATGGGAGCTTTCCTCTGCTTTGGCCATAGGTATGTGCTGGGGGAGTAGATGTCGTCTTTCACCTTGTACAAAGTGGGGGAGGAAATGGCAGCTTGACCCTGAGATGTAGAGTGCTAGCAAGCTAAAGAAGACAGGGCGAGCTCCAGTTTTCCTGCAGTGATAGTGATTTTCCACATGTTACCATTTCTTTTGGGCTTCCAGTTGTCTAATTTTTAACAAGTGGGAGTGGGAATAATTAAATGGTTTAAAAAGTTTTTACTCTAAAGAATCTTTTAGATTTTTATCTTAAAACTCATCTCATAGAGAACTCTCTAATTTAAGCTAGTTCAGGTAAAGCTGTCCTGATTGCTCTGGGGATGGTGAGGGTAGAAATTTTATCCATAGTATGGTGAACTTATCCATATGTCATAATGTAAAAATCATAGAACTAAATAATTTAAGGACACTTCCATTGGTAAGTGTGCCGAGGTCTGTCTTTCAGTAGGAATAATATAATTTTACACAAGAGAGAACTTTCCAATTGCTCAAAAACATCAAATTACTGCCTATGACTCCACACCCTAAACACATTTTGTGTATCTTCTGATCAGGAAGATGAGTACTTGGAATTCTTGTAGGAGTAAAGGGAAGAACAGCGTCCGGTAATCTTGCCAGCCTTAAAAGTCTTCATACTGTACCTGTATGTATAAGTTAGATTGTACAATTTTGTCAATGTCAAAAATGGCATTAGGCCTGGGGATATAGCTCAGTGGCATAGCGCTTGCCTGGCAAGCACAAGTTCCTGACTTTGATCCCCGGTACTGCAAAAACAAAAACAAAAACAAAAACACCTCAATAGTACAAAAATGGCATTTCTATAATTCAATTTATGGTAGTTTACATAAAAATGTTTCCCAAAATATTTCATTTATTTAACTTGTGCTATTTCCATACCCACACCGAGTCACATACCAGCAAAGGGACAAGATGTAAGGTTCTCCCTTCAAATACAAATGGTTATTTACCCAAGCAGAAGAAGGAAACAAACAAACAAAAAAAGAAAGCAGCTTTGCCAAGGCTACCCTTTTCTTTGAAGTATGTATTGGTAAAGCTATTATTTTTTTAAAGAAAATAAAGTTTGTAACATGGAAGCAAACTGAAGAATTAACAATATTCTAGCATTAAGGGGGTTCATATGATTTTCTTGGAAATGTGATTTCTCAGGATTTAACACATTTCATAAGTATAATGTATCTTTAAAAAATCAATATGATTAAGGTGTCCCGATACTTGTGCCCTTATTTACTTATTCATTTATTTATGCATTTGTTTGTTTATTTTCAGTGCTGGGTCCTTCTTCATTCTAAAAAGCAGCTCTACCATCTATCTGCACCCATGATCGCGCGTGCCTTAATTTGGAATTTCAGATCAAGTTTACCTCACACTCCAGCATCACGCAAAACCTAGAAAGTTACAGAATAACTAAAAATCTGTTCTAACCCTCTTTGTACTTCTTCTAGTTTATTCTGGGCAAACTTCTAGCACCATAGGCTATGCATTTGTTTCTTGAAATTATGACAATGCATGCAATAAAATATTTCAGATCCTTCAGAAAAAGTTTATGACCCAGCCTCAGGAGAATTGCCAGCTCTCAACGATGATTCCCTGAGTAGAAGTCAGATTTCTTCAGATTTCCTCAACACCTCACATATGAAGGGACCCCGTGGAGCTGAGGAATCAAGGTAAATTGCCTGCAGCTTATACATAAAGACAGTACATAGTGAGATTTGGGCAAGTCCCAATTAGTTATTTTCTATGTAAAGAATAATTGCCCTTGTGTGCATAACTTCCGTGACCATTCTTTGTGAAATGTCTGGGGTTTTTGCAGACTTATTACCAGGATTTAGTAAATGGCTTATACAGTTATTTTAATCTGAAGAGATAGCTCTCTGCTGAACAATATATGTCATAAAAATGAAAATACACCTGGAATTTAATAATCCTTCTACATTTTTATGTCAAAAAACAGTTGTATTACTTGAATTAATTAATGCAATAAATTTCAATATTTTGCAGTAATAAAATGTTTCCCAATGTAAAGCTTTTAGAAAAGAATATTGACTTTTTTCCTTAAAATGGAACCTACATTATTAACAATATTTTAATATGTATTATTTGATTATTTCCTTATGTAAAATAATGAGAGGGCAGTGGTCAGTTCATAAGGAATGTAGGTTATTCTAATAAGTGCTTCAGAAAAGTAATATATCATGTTTGCCCACTGTTGACATACACACATTTGGAGAAGGAAGATGTGTCTTTCAGGGAGACAAAGACGATGAAATATAAGCCCTTTGAATTACAAGTTGCTTTGATTCATTTCAGGTCTTATATTGCACCAATGGAATCAAGACTGTTACTTTGTCTTTCTGAAGGAGGAGATCATGTAGTCATGGTTCTTGGACTTGAATTTGTGATACCACATAGATTTTTTTGTTAAAGAGACTGCTACCTTTCTAGAAAAACATAAGGCAGGATTAAGACCATTGCTATACGTGTGCTAAAACCCCAAGTTTTCTGTTCCCTTGGGACAGAAGATTGCGTGTGAGGTGCTATAATCAAGTATCGGTGACCCAGGTCCATTAAACAGTAGAGCCAGATCTCACAGTGAAATCCCCCAAAATGGAAATAAAACTTAAATTTCCTTAGCACTGTATAATGAGCCTTATTGTGTTTTTAAAAAGGATCAATGAGATTAGTATTTTTTCCTTAAAAAGTTATTAAAAGCAAACTAAACCTAGATGCTCTCCCACCATGTCACACAAGAAAGGGCATTAAATGCTAAAGATGTCAGGAGAACGTACCAACAGAATAAGATGTAACATGTCACGAAAAACACTGCCTTTTTCTTCTCTTCTGGGGTGAGTGAAAGCTGTCAGTTATATGGGCACTAGCGCACCGACCAGAGTCTATTCACTGCTGAGTTAGCCCGTTTTGGACTTGAAAAAAATAATCCTTATAGAGTTATATTCATTACAAGGTGAAGTATTTCAAATTTAGTTGCAATACCAAAAAAGTTAGTTGCCTACAGGGGCTGAAAATCTAGATAACTTTGCAATCCGCGAGGGCTGGGCCCCTCCCTGTTGCCCCGCACTACCTGTGCTCCTAACTGCAGACACCCGTGTGCGGGAGCCTCCGCCAGTCCCCACCCCCGTAAAACGCAACAGAATAAAATAACGAGTAATTCCTGTCATTAATTTTAGTTTTGACTTGTCTTGACTGAATATCCTCTTAGTCCTAATTTGCTGTACACAAAGGAGATGATTTCCCTGGCAGTCTATTCATTGGGATTCCATTAAACAGCCGATGCATGGTGAATATCCTTGAGGATGACGTCGAGGCTCTGGGGGTTGCCGCAGTGCCTTCTGAATCAGGAGGAAAGGAACGACCGGAGACCATAAACTCTGCTCTCCTTGCGTTCACTGTGGCCTTATTCCTTGCGGGAGGGAGAAGGTTGAGAAATTCTCGTTAAAGGGAGCTTGGTACACCGGGCACACTGAAACTTACGGCCCTAATCTGACACAGCCCCCTCCCATCTGCTGCTCCCAGTGACTTCAGTGTATGCAGTATTGATCGGAAGGTAAATGAAAGCTGAGAGCTGGCTCTGTATATTGTATATTCTGTATACTGATCTCTTCATGCATTTCCAGCTCTTCTGGAAGAGATACCGAAATGCAGTCTTCACTGTCACTTTCCGAGAGCAGCACAGATGAGGAGCAAGAAGACCTTCTTGACAAGCAACTTGTCATCGCACCATCATGGTCAAAGAGGGTTTAAAGATCGCTCGTCCATCACTTTCCCACTTTGTACTCAGAGTAAAGCAAGCAACATGAAAAAGTTACCGATCACCTGGCCAGGCGCGGGGATTTCGATTATTAGTGTCTGATGTTTCAAGGCCTACAAACAAATAAAAATTAGTGAAATTATAACTTCAAGGGCTTTTCTCTCAAATGACACATTGCATTTCAAGTACTAACATATTTCAGATTATTTTAGCGAAATTTTATAAATTCTAAGGAATAATATTTATAACTATGTAACTGTAGGAAAGAACATGATTCTATTTAAAGCAATACTTCACTGTCCAATTATATTTCAAGAAATTATGTTATTAAGAAGAGTATTTATCTGATGACCACATCAGAGTAGTCACAATCATGAGTTAAGCCTATAATTTCAATGTTTTTTCCATTAGGTCTATTAGAATATTTATAGTATTTCTGTAAGCTTCAAAAACTGATTCTCGGAGAAAAAAAGACCAAAATAAATTGGACACACCTGCTATGCTCTGTTCTAGGAGGGAAAGAAAAACACTCCAAACATCTTATTTTGAGAAGATCAATGTCATGGTTGCCTCTCTCCCCTCCCCCTTTTACACATGCACACACACACACACACACCTGTTGATTCTGTTTCTCAGAAGAGCCCTCATAATGACAGTTTGAAGGACTGTTGGGCAATACTCAAAGGCAATACTCTAGTGGAAGTATTTTGCTATGTTCCTAAGGAGTAGATCCTGGGTTTTATTCAAGTTTTTGTAAAATGTCATAACTCAAGAGTTTAAGCAAGGGCACACACGGGGCATAGTTTCTTGGCTGTCACTTTGTGACATGTTAGGATGGTTTTCTTTAAGGAGTTTGGTGATTTATCAGAAAAAATATTTCTGAAGGTTGAGTATAGTTTCACTACAATACAGACATACCTGAAGAGTTCAAAGTCTTTATCCTCAATGTGAGCCTGGGTAGTAACCCCTCACCAAGACTGATGGTTATTCAGTGTGCTTTTATCTTTAGTAAATTTCCATGCCATCAGTAATTGTCCTGTAATTCTCATAGATCTGATAGGATATAAAATGATGAAGAGACTTATAGCCATTTCTGTGTCTTTCAAGTAAAAATGTCCTTTCTTGAAAGTGAATACTGTAATGTATATGGATAATAAACAATCAAAAAATCAGTCATATTGTCAGAACAAGATGTGTAAAAATCTTCCAAGGGAGTGTGACTCCTTGATAAGTTTTACTTCACTCTTATCACTTTCTGCTTTCCAGTCTCACAGACATATGCAACAGAGAATCATCCCTGAATTTTCAGTATTTGTGTCAAAACCCCCTATGGCATCCTGTACTGAGGTTGATGGCTTTCTGAATTTCATTGCCCACACTTAAAATGGGGATTGCTTGTTTATTTATTAGCATAGGAACATCGTTTTAGCATGTCTTCTCAGTTTCAAACTCTTTGTTCTCCTTTGCTCTGAGACATCGTATTCTCTTCTGATGAAGAAGCAAATTATTCCTTTGGATGTGATGCGTAAAACTTAGAACCTTAAAGTTAGGAAGCTTTGTCTTGTTAGAGAAGGACTGGACCACTACTAACCCTCTGTTTGTTCAGACCTAATTTAATTCTTACATGAAATGGCTCAGAAAATGATGTTTTTATGATCTCACTATGTTTTACAGTCTAAAAATTTTGAAATAAATTGTCAGATAATTAATTGTCATCAGCACATCTCTGTCCCAAAATCGAGAAAAGGGATGTGGTACACAGACTTCGTCACTGGACTTCTGACATGGGATTGCAGTTGAGCACCAGGAGGGTTCCCCATGGCTGAGCAGAGCCGACTCCTGCCGTTCTTTGCTTTCCATGGCCACACATCTGGAGAGGTCCTTACCTCCAAGGCTGTGAGTCTAAGGAGGAATTAAAGCCTAGGGAAGATTAGAGGCTTTGCCTGAGGCAGCTTCCCGTGTTCTCTCATTTGGAAACTCTAGCTTTAAGTTACTCATAAAGACTGGCCTCTAGTTCTAACCATGGAGCTGATAGAATCACACATTCTTCAGAAGAATCTCAACTGTATTAGTACACTGAGGTTAGTGTGTATTCCTTTAGCAACTACTGGATAAAAAGTCCTATGGTGTTACATGCATGTCAACCCTGGTTGCTCATATCCAGACTTGCATAATTCTGTGAGAGTCATGTGAAGTTTTCTGAGTTTACTGCCTTTGGACATCTATGTGACAGAAACAAAGTGACATTAGATTTTATGTTATGGCTTTAATATGTTATTTGATACCTATCCGAGCTCTTCATATCTACTATTCTTGGGAACACACATCATAGGCCATTGGTGTCTCACATCTATTTGTTTGTTTGTTTGTTTTTGTTTTTTTTTCCGGTACCGGGAATGGAAATCACGACATTGCACTTGCCAGGCAAGCGCTGAGCCTCTGAGCTAAATCCCCAGCCCCTGGTGTCTGACATCTATAAGATCACGTAGAGCTATGCTGCAGATGTGATGGGCACAGAAAACATTTCTTGAAAAATGGATGTTTCAAAATGGCTTAGCTTCCGTTTTATGGTCGTCAGATATTTTAAATACTGCACTGGATCAGAAGAAGCTAACCTCTCCGTCTTTATAGTTCAGTTTCGGAAAGATCTTCAGCAGTGCTCACCTCGTAAAGGTTTACGCACAGGCCTTTTCTCATCGTGTAGGTCTCAGAATGCACCTTCTCAAAGAGACGTCTCTCATCTCTGTCCAAATTCACCTCCCTTATCCGTTTCCTTTATTTTTTCTCATGATTCTTTTTCCTCCATAAACTAATAACTAATGTATTTGCGTACTTTTGAAGATACATTTTGCAACTAGACTATAAATTTCAACTAAGCATTATGACTACACTGTTGACTGTTATGCACAACCCCAGTAGAGAGGTGCTTAGCTAACAGGAGAGGTCCTTAGTGAAACAATGGTTGTGCGCAAACCAAACGGTAAGTCTTCTTCGTCTACGAAGGGAGATGATACAGGCAATGAAGGACATGCACGGTCTCTCGCCAGGTTATCAGATATGCTGTGATTAAGTACTGAATGCAGAAATCACTTCTTTGCATAAAAAGGATTCTGACATACTTTTCATAATTTTTTGTGAATTTGTGCCACCTTTACTTAACACATGGATAAATTAGTCATGAATCATTAAATAAATTTTGGGTCCACTATACATAAATGATCCACTAAAATCACTCAGATTCATCGGTGGGGCATGCTTTCAGGAAATGGACAATTAGATTGAAAAATAGGTAATGCTAGTATTTATGTTAAAATTAAACATCTAAATTTACTTCATTAAAATATTTCTGAACATATTGTTTCATATGCCTATAGTTTCTATCAAGTTTACATTTTAAAAATAATAAAATATACCAGCACTATCTAAAGACCCTATGCATCATACTTGCACAAAGGAAAATATTTTAAATATATTACTTATACCGCCCCAAACCTGTTTTTATAGGACATGCTGTTTCATCATAATTTTCATTCCTGGTTATTTATTTCTAGCCACATTTGCATGAAAACAATGTTTATTTCCTCAGAGTTCATCTGTGCCTAAAGTCATAATTCTTTGTTAGTGACACCCTGATTGTTTGCTGGGTAAATGATTATGATGTTGCCAGCAGATTATGACTTTAGCGGGGAATAACCAGCAGGCAAAGATGAACTCTGAGGAAATAAAGAGCCTCCTTTCTTAGTGCAAATGTCTTCTGTAGTTAAGGAAAATGAGAGGATATTTTTAACGTTCTCCATGAGGTAACAGGTACATTTAAACTGAAAAACAATTAATTGATTGATAGGGTTTCTCTTTCAAATGCATATAATACACAATGATAGTTATGGGAACATAGTTCTGAAAGGCATTTCTGTACTTTTACTTTTGCCTGAAGGAAGAGATATGTATATTTCTGTCTAGAAAAAAAATTGTGTAGATACAAATTTTTTTAAAGATTTCTAAGAGAGTGTGTGGAGGGAATGAACTTCATCCCTATGTGGTAATTTATTAAGCTTTATATATTTAGTGTAACTGTGAAAAATGTTTTAAGGTACTTTGTGTGTATTTTCACATTTTTCATATGTCTTCATATCTGATAAAATAACATTTGTTGGTCATTTAGACCATGCCAGTGCTACCGAATAGCTCTGCACTTAAAAAGTGAGAACTGGACACACAGTCAAGCAATGAATAGATATACATTTTATTGTTTTTGAAATACTCACCACATTTACTTTCTCCTCTGACCTCCTAGCCCAGAAACCTAAAAGAATAGCTTGTACATAAAGCTACTAAATTATTTTAGTTTGGGTTTAAATTTTTAAGAAAAATCAGATAACAATATAAGAAAATGGAAGTTTATTTCTTTTACATGGAGATTAAGTCTGGCAGTAGGCAGTCAGGAACTACCAATGCTACTTCACTACGTTGTTTCCTCCCCGACATTCCCCACATCACCTCCTCACGTAAAATGGGGATAGATTTCCAGCCATCACAATCTGAGTTCTGGGTTTGGGAAGGGAGAAATGAGAACAAACTAGGCAGCTCCTAGCTGAGGCAACTTTCTTTAAACTACAGTACTTCATTTTGGAAGCCTACCAAACATTCTGTTTGTATACTATTGGCCATAATCTAGCCATAGTTAGATAGAAGGGGACTGAAAATGTGATTGATTAAAATTTGGATTACATCCTGAAGAAATATTCAGAGAAGGGGATATTGAAAACAAGTGGCATGTGTTCTGTAGGTCCTAATACTACCTTCACTGCTGTTCTGAAACTGATTGTTTTCATGACATACTGATTTTGCAGTCATTATGATTTGAAATGCATGGGATTAATCAATCTTTTGAGGTCTAAATGGGTGTCACATTTAAATGTACTACCATACTTAAAATCATTCAGTTTCTTATATAATCCATACCTCCGCTTCAGTCTTTTTTATGGCTTTACAAAGACATATTGTACACAGAGAGATCATCATTATTTATATTTAAGTTTCACCTTAGGACTTCCTGAAACACATTCCACAGCGCTTGACAGTTCAGACTTTGGACTGATGCCCAAATGCAATCTGCTTTGGCAAAACTTCCAGTGCACTATGTTAAAAATGCTGTGGTACAAAATACATGTTTCAAAGGAACTTTCCAATATTAGGGTATTTTGGAACCTATGATACTGGACATTATCATAAGAGTACACAGAGAACAAGTAAAAAATAATGTCTTAAAAGGCTGTTGGATGTTGGTATAGTAGAGCCAAAGACTACAGGTGTCCTAGAGACAAAAATTTAACGTCATGTTCCTGTAAAACCGTTTAAGTCGTTTACATTACACGTAAAAATGAGACCGAGTTCGAACCGAGTTCTGAGGTGACGGGGTCACGTGAGCTCAGGGAGGCGCACGAAGGGAAACTAAGTTGTTGAACAAATGTACACAGGTTGGAAAATTCAAGACAATAGTTGTAAAGCCGAGGAAGGAGCGCTAGCCTCTACATTTGAGATGCACGGCCGGGGTCCCGGGGCGTCTCTCGGCCCGCTGTCATACAGCACTCCGAGGCCGCACCGCCCGGACCCCGGCGCCGCGGGCCGCACCCCGCTCTGGGCAGC